TAATATCATTTTAATTGACATCTGTATAACATGTGACAATCTATTAAGTATATTTTGTCACAACATGTAATTTCAGATTTATCAGTTATTTAACATGTTTATTGTTAGCTGTGTAATTCAATGTTATTCAGGACATTGTTAACCTGTACTGTTTTATTTTAATTTTAAGGTATTGTCCGTTTTCATTAGCGTTTTTTTTTCTGGATTTGTTGTTATGTTTGTCTTTTTCTAAAATAGAATGAAATAAAGCTATAGTCCTCAAGTCCTGGTTTTCTTAAGTTTCTACACATTAAACATATTATTAAAGCTGTCAGCCTCACACAGACCACTCGGTTACAGTTTTTTGGCGCCGCGAGCAGGGTTTAAAAGTGTGTCAACCTAAAGAAACACACAGACACCCCTTCCTCCGGTGGCCACCTACACCACTAAACATATTGTATCACAATCATGTTAAAAATGTAATTTAGTGTTGTTAAGTGAAATTGTTCAATAATGTACCGCATTTAATGTGACTTCACATTGCTGGAATTCCACTCTCCCCCTCGTCACAAAAATGTGACCCCCCCCCCTTCCCAACCAAATCCCTTTAGACACGTGACGCCATTTATGGATGGTCCCAAAATCCACAATTTCGCTGTGTATAATAAAATTCATTAGGATTTGACCTAAGACACCATGTGGGAAACCTGGATGCAGCAAAAGTGCCTTGACTCTAAAAAGTATGGGAACCTCTTCCCTGGAACATTAATTTTCTAAGATCAGTTTTGCTCCGTCGGCTATAGGCTTATTTCTTTCCCACTTCACGGGGGTCTTTCCCTGCTTCTCCACCTTCTACGTTTTCGACATAATTTATCCCGACTGTCAATGTTAGGCCTACTGCCCAATAGCCATTGTCCTACTTGCGGTACTGTAATTTGATCGCCTGAGACAAGTGAAAGTGGTCATTCGCATACCTGTAATGGCCCACAACCAGTGGCGTAGCAAGGGTTTAAGTGCGACCGGGGTGGGACAAGATTTTTGTCGCCCCCTTCCCGTGAATAAATAACAACAAACTGCAGGAACGCAATGCTGCATCTCAATATTATAGAGAAAAGAGAGCCGCCAGGGGCGGCCCTCCCACTTCGCCCCACTCCCACCATTCCTAAACCAGTGCCATCCTAACCACTGATCCACTCAGTAATAATAACGGTGGAAAAATTGAATCAAATAGAATTAAACATCAACAAACCACAACGAATACAAATTTAATAATTAAAATTTGTTTTTAAGTAATTTATGTCTATTAATGTGTAGGAATTATATTATGATTGGTGCCGCCCGGGGCTGGCCAACAATTGTGTCGCCTCCCTTCCACGAAAAAAAAATCCTGTGCAGTTTGCCGCAAATACATCCACTTCAAAACCTACCCTGCACCATGGGCGCCCGCAGGTAGGGGCAAGGGGGGCACTTCCCCCCCCCCCTGGATTGATTGGATACATTTTTTTTAGACAAAAATAGACAAAAAATGTATTAAAGTAAAGATAAAATAAAGAGAGAGTAACTAAGCTGATGTCCTTTCCGTTCGTTCACCATACAAACACGCTACATTAAAACATTACTAAAAAAAAATTTGCCCCCTCCCCTGGAAAGTTAATCGATTTTTTTGCCCCCCCCCCCCCTAGAAAGTTTTCTGCGGGCGCTCATTCCCTGCACCTTCCTACATCACTGCAGCTAGTATACATTTAATGTAAATAACACGCTACATTAAAACATTACTAAAAAAAAATTTGCCCCCCCCCCTGGAAAGTTAATCGATTTTTTTGCCCCCCCCCCCCCTAGAAAGTTTTCTGCGGGCGCTCATTCCCTGCACCTTCCTACATCACTGCAGCTAGTATACATTTAATGTAAAATTTAATTTAAGTTCATAAAGTTCATTCATGCAATTGTTTTTGTTCTACTTCAGTGGCTTTTACATGGGGGTGTTTGCCGAAACGCCTTAAATTTATATTTTGTCCTTTGATTAAAGTATTTATTATTTACAATTTAAAGCTTTACTAGTTCGTATTATTTTACCGACACAAGTTTTTTTACTAAACTAACTTTATCACTTTGAATTTGAGGTGGACCCACTTTGACTTTATTGACTTTAACCATTTTACGGACGTCCAAGGCAAACCCCTGCTTTGCCTTCCTCCTCCTATTTGTAAGGCCCAGTGGGCACACTGCCCTTTCTTTCATTTTCTTTAAAATGTAATAATTTAAATTTAAAGTACTTCTGGATTTCCCGAACGGAGCACAGCAGCTTGTACCACTAGTACTGTGTTATTATAAATAGCACATGTAATCTCCAACATACTTCCTTTGCTATGGCCTGAACACTGAATAGTGAATGCAACAGGAAGCCTTATTATTATATAACGACGTGTGCTGTCGAAAAAAAAACAAGATTATGATTATAGAAGTTGTCTAAGATGTATCTAAGATCTACTACTACTACTACTACTACTGTGCCTTTTATACCTAGTTTATATGCCTACTCAATGAGTTATGGATTTGTGAAATGCATTTATTAAATTTAAATATTAAATTAGTCTCGTGCTCTTTTAGTCAATATGGTAGACTGCACGGAGCCGGAGCTATTCTAAGAAATCGGATTTTTAATAAGAAAATTTTAAATACATAATTGTTTTAAATGCTGTGCGACACTTTGAAATTTGTGTTTCATAGACATTTAAATTTTACTGAAAATAAAATTAAATAACGATGGAAGAAAGAGGTTAGTAGAAAGCATTGTACTTATATATTATATAGGCTATGGGGTTATAGTATAGGCATTAAGTAATATCGTAATATAGTCTGTCTATTATTTATTATTAGTACCGGTAACATTTTAGGCCTACCGGGTAGTTCATAATCATTTATTTTCATAGTACTTTTTATAATTAAAGTTAAAGGACTATTTGATAATAATTATAAATTATATAATATCGTTTAAATAACTGTTTGCTACTGATTTCAGTGTTTCTGTCTCTCAACAATTTACTCATTAATAATTAATAAATTAAAATGTTGTTATGAGTTATGGCTATGGCTATTAAATTATTATAATTTATGGTTAAAAATGGGGACGCCTGCCACTTTTTTATCGAATTTCACGAATGCATCCCTAAATCGATCCCTATTCCCAAACTGAACTTTAAAGTAATTAAAGAGAGGTGACAGCAATACCAACAGATAGAAAATTTCAGGTTTGACAGAGTTTGCTCAAGTTGTTTTCATAACAGATCTCATTTAAGTACAAGAGCTGGGAGCCACTAGATCAGGTTTACTGTCATCACAGTCATAGGGTGTCACCAGACAGAGCTGGTTGGAAACAAAACAGGGTACCACCAGAGTGTGGTGTTGCTCTACAAGAGCAGGATGCCAACAGACAGAGTAATGTGTCATCAGGGCAGAGTGATACCGTAATAGGATCCCATCAGAGCAGTGTGCCATCCTTTGCACCAGAGCAGGGTGTCACCAGACAGAGAAGCCCCCAACAAAAACAGACAGGGTGCTACACTACTAGAACAGGAAAACTTCATAAGAGGTCCAAGGGGAATTCTAGAAAGGAGAGAAGGTGACGCCATGAACCATCCATAGTGATGCCATTGAGATTAAGCCTAGTAGTAATTAGGCACACACTTAGATCATTTAGAGATATTTCTAAAGAGCTAGAACTCAGGAAATAAAGTTTTTACTTATTTCAATAAATATTATTTTAATCAAGAAATTTTTTAAAGTATTCTAACATTTATATCAAAACTTAAAATTCAATGGCTCTTCTGTTCTCGAAATAACTGTGCCTTGCACCCCCTGAATGCCATCTTGTACCCTCTGGGATGTGTGCACCCAGGTTGGGAAACCCTGGTCTAATTTCATGTCTTGTTCAGGAAAACAAATATTCAATCCTATCAGTCCCATTAAAACAAAATCATCCTAAAATGAATACTGTGATAAGACATAAAAGTGTTATCATTTAAATGAGAGGTGGGCAAACATTGTGGTAAGCAGGCTGCATGAAAATTAATTTTTTGGCTGGCCACATGATAATTTTCTAGAAATATAGAGTTCTATAAGATAAATTTTATAGATTTTTAAAATAAATTTAAAATAATTATAATGAGATGATAACTAACTCAGATAGCATCGGATTACTAGTTAATAGTGCAGATAGTCTGTTAATATTAAGTTACATACTTTTTCAGTCTTAAAATAAGCAATGGAATAAATTTTAATTTGCTTTGATTATTATCATAAAATTTAAACCATTTTACACTGTAATTATTCATTTTCAAAGGCTTTTACTGATAATCAATTTTTACCTTTACAAAAACATTTAACCCCTGATTTAAATTATTAGTATTTACTATTAAGCTTTAAAAATCATTTCAAATAACACTTAATATCCAGGACAACTTTTGGGGAAAATAATCTAAATAATCTATTTTTTAAGTGGTCTAATAGTTTAAAAATTATTGTTTCATTTTTACAGAAATGGATCCCAATGGTCAGGACACAAGAATAAGAATCTTAAGAGAGGCTTTAACCAGACGAGATCCAAATTATCAAATGGTTTCTGCACTTCTTACCTGGAATAATGAAAAAGAGCGTCAAGATCTAAAAATTATCCTCCTAACAAATCTTGATATAATCTTTGAAATTTGCAAACTTGGATACCTTGAACCATTAGAAATTATTCTCCAACTAGATGTTATAGATGTCAATACAAAATATAATGGGGTACTTGTACTTTTTTAAAAAAACTTTTATATGTTAGGATCTCAGTAATCAGTTATGTAACTCTATTAAATTTGGTTAATTTACACTATTAATTTTATCAATTTTTTTAACTTCATACAAATTTTCAAAAATTTTGTTACACCATTTAGTTAAAATTGCTGAATCGAAAAAAAACTTATTTGTTTTTTTCAACTTTCAGAAAACATGTCTTCAAGTAGCTTGTAAATATGGTTTTACTGATATTGTCCTAATTCTACTGAAGTATGGTGCTACAGTAAATAATTGTGTTTGGGATGAGGAATCTGAGTTTTATATGGCATCGCACAATGGACAATTGGATGTATTGAATATTTTGTTAGATAAATTTTATGGTAAAAAAATGTATTTAACTTTTTTTAATAACTATTATTGCAATAACAGATACATTATACATTGAAATGAAATGGTTATGAAGATAGCCTTTCTCCTATTATCAATCCAAATTTAAATTTATTGTTAGAAAAACAATTTTTAATTAGAAGTATCTTGTGAAACCTAGAAAAGGAAAAAATGATGTGTTCACTCAAAAATAGTATGTCAAACCAAAAAATTATGCAAAAATTAAGAAACAATTGCAATAGGCATGCTAATATGATAATTTAAAATAATAAAAATCAGTTTAATTTATTAACCTGAAACTGTAATGTTTTTCTAAGCTCTGGTGCAGGAGAAAAATATATGCTACACTTTGTTTTATGCTGCTTGCTGTGGTGGTAAATTGGAGGTGGTCCATAAATGGTATTTTCCAACTATGGACCTGAACAGTGTAATTGAATTTGTGCCAACTCTGAACAAGTGTGAACTGATGTATCCCTTGTATGCTGCATGTCAAGGTAAAGTAGTATCTAGTTCATTTTTAAAATAAAATAAAAAATTTACATTACAGATTTATTCAGGCAGCTGAAACTTATTTGGTAAGACTACAGATATTTTTAAGTAGACAGCTGATATTTAGTTCTATGCCTATTTGGTTTATGTCTACCAACTTAGGTTTCTGTCTCACAACTTAGGGGGTTGAATTTTTTTTAAAAGTCATGGTTTACCTGTCCAAGGACAACTGCCTTACATGGCTAACAAGGGTGCTGCAAAACTAAGGCACTTGATCAAACAAAAGCACCATTATATTATTTAAATTTTGTGCTTGATAATTTCCCCAATAAATCTTAATAAATTACTTTGGGTCATAACCTGACCTTGAATAAAAGTTTCTGGTGTGAGATAAAGATTAACCCACCCTTAGATGTGAACTTTGTGGGGCAGATAATGCAGAGCATGTTTCAAAGACATTTAAATAAGAAGTATGGTAAGTTTTAATGTGAGGCCTCGGTACTATAATTTGAAAGATATGAACAATAATTATAAATTGAGTGCAAATTTGCATAGGTATATATCAATGTTGTTTTGTAATGGTTTTGTAATTGAAAAATATCTTAAGCTTAATAACTGAAATATTCATAATTATGATATATCAGCTCAAAAATTATTTCAAAGTTTGTTGGGTTAGGCACAATGCTCCACTATTACAACTTCTGGTAGAGTGAGACAAGTTTTATGATTACATACTAGTGGTTTACTCAAAACAATATAAAAAATGTATTAAATTTAAGGCAAGTATTGTACAAAATGTTATATTTAAATGGAAACATAACATTTTATAAAAATTTAATGATATAAACAAAGAGCCTGATATTTTTTTCATTATTATTTTTACTTAAAATATCTATTTTAACTATTTCAATGATTAGCATGAATAAATATCAATAAAATCCGATTCTTTAATATCCTGGTAATCTGTAGTCAGTCCAAGAAACAACATCATTTGACTGAGTTTTCATATCTAAACATAATTTTTTTCAAACATGCTTTGACAGTAACCATTTGAGAAGAATCCTGATTAACCTTCAAATGTTCTTGCTTTTTAATTGTCACAATTATTTTGTAGTATAGTGTCTGTAAGAATATAATTTTTTTTCTAAAACCAAACACACACCCCCCCCCCCACCCCAATCCTTTTTTTTGTAGTGTCTTTGTCATTTCCACTTTAGTGATTTTTTTGGTATGGACTAATTATAAAGCATAAAATTTTGAAAAATATTTCAAATTTTCTTGCTTTTTAATTGTCACAATTATTTTGTAGTATAGTGTCTGTAAGAATATAATTTTTTTTCTAAAACCAAACACACACCCCCCCCCCCCACCCCAATCCTTTTTTTTGTAGTGTCTTTGTCATTTCCACTTTAGTGATTTTTTTGGTATGGACTAATTATAAAGCATAAAATTTTGAAAAATAACTAGATGCTAAATATTCATCAGTAGTTGCAGAGGTGCCTTTTGTGACAGGCATAGATAAGCCTAATGAGATGGTTTTGAGATAGTCTCACATTCATTCAGCAAAAGGGATTATAAATTAAAACATTTATTTAAAAACTTACTGCCATGAACTGTTCCCAAAGTATTTCAGAATAACAACATGGTTTCATTAAAGTATAATTTGAAAGACACCTTACCATTATTTGGAATCAAATAAATGTTTAATGCTAAGATTTACAAGTAAATCTATCCAATACATTAAGATGCAAGTAAGACTATAAATTCCTGCTTTTGAAAATCCCTCTTGAATATTCATTTCCCAAGTTTTAAAGGATGATTAAGTTATTAACTATTTACATTCAATGGGGTCAACTTCTCATTCTAATACAAGTTGGTTGCTGTGTATCAATTGACAACTGATGTAGGGGAAAAATGATAGGACAACTAGCAAAAATGATCATTTATTTTAATGCCTACATTTTTACAATATAATTGGTAGCTAGAAAGCCAGTTACCAGGAAGACTCAGCATAAAGAGAACTTTTTAGGAGGACCAAAGAACAGTGTGTAAAAAATAGTTGATAAGATATCTAGACAAATCAAACAAATTGGAAAGTGGGTGCTATTATAAAAATCTAACTTGAAATATTCACTCTTATCTGGAATAAAATGTAATCATGTTCCTTGTTCTGGGTGTACCAGTATTTACTGATGTCAGAAGATTAGATTAAAGTCAGATAGCAGTCAGATTTTGTTATCAACCAATTACCTGAATCCCTTGAAGATCACTTTATATCACAGAAACATGCTATGTCTCCTTGCAAAGCATAACAATCCTAGGGCCTAAATTTCATTTTTTTCCCTCAAAGTAATGCCTTTATTAAGTCTTTTATTATCTCTTAATATTATTTAAAACTGCTATATTTGCAGGCAGATTCTTGGACATTGCAGTTTTTCTAATTGAAAATGGAGCCTCTGTTACAAAAGAAATCTGTGAGAGTTTCCCAGAATTTACCACTTTCCTCATCCAAACTAAATTTCAGACTTCAAATTTAAGAGCTAAAAAAGATGTAAGTAGAAATTGATTTTATTAATTCACAGCATGAAATATACTCATATGGAATATAAGATGATTTACTTATTGAAATAGTGAATTAGTACCTACCCTGTATACAAAAAAAAACAGGAAGCCAAGAAAAGATTCAAGTGGATAAAAACTTCTCTTTTTTTCCAGTTCGATTTGGAAGAAAAATCTCTAAAAGGTATTATCCCTGGCTGGTTCAAGTCAAACCTTGGTAGTGCAGGTGAGGAAACTGAATACCCCATAGAAGTAGACATAAGTATCAACCTGTCCAAGAACTTGCTGACAGATTTGCCTGATGGGGTTTTATGGAGCTTACAAGGGTTGACACTGCTAAAAGCACCAGAGAATCCAATCAAGTTCATAAGTGATGCACTGGATATTAGTGTCCTAGCAAGCAACAGGTATACTATTTATTTTTTAAGTGCAGCTTCAATAGAAACAGCTTAAATAATTAAATTGTTATCCCAGAAATCTATTAAATGGTTTCCATTTTATTGATATACTTTAAAATAATTACTTGAAACGAGAGGTCGTGTATTTGGTTATTGTTCTTTCTTGTCCTAAATGTTTCAAGGCAGCAGCTATATCAAAATTATTACTTAGTTAAAAACAGATTTTAGAGTTGGCTGACATGAAAGATTCCACATGCACATTTAAAGTGGAAAGGAATGTAATTAAGTGGTGTGTAAATACTGTGAGCAGTTAGTAATTTAACAGTACCCGGTATTAATATATTTAGCAAGTTCCGTGATTCAAGTTAAATTAAATCAATTCTGTTAAAAGAATTGTTTTAATAGTGGACATTTTTAATGAGTTTTTGCACTGTGATCATAAATACATTTATGTAAAAATCTAATTCAAAAGTTTTATCTCTCAAATTTGATTTAACTTTTCCTAATTGTAGCCATTTTTAATTTAAATGCTGGTATACATTAATTAACCTAGATGATAAAATGTTGACATTCAACGTCAGTTTTTGTAAAGAATTTCTCCCTCAAATAAATCTATAATCTAGACAATATTTATTACTTATAATAATAATAATAGCAGCTTGCTGATTGTTTGTTACATGTTGCTGTATATTTAAAAAAAATTTTTCAGACTTACTTCATTAGATTTGTCTTACTGTCAGTTAGAAAAGGTTAGCTCTCATATATTTAACCTGCCAGGCCTTGTAGAATTAAACTTATCTCACAACAATCTTGTCACACTGGGAAGGGATCAAGGTAAATTGAATTTATATTTTAAAAATAAGATATAAATATAATTCCTTTAAAATATTTGTGGGGCTAAGAAAAATTGCAGTTTTACTAAATATCAAATAAAATACTTAATCTCTTATGAAAAGAATAGCCCAATACTGATGCAGTTATGATGCCATGTTTTAAATCTAAACTAAGGTCATAAAGATTATCATATCAGTGTTATAATCCACAAGGAATGTCTCTGGCACTGATTTACTGGATATAGATGATGTTTATCTGGTAGAGATACTGGAGTTTGACGCTGCTTAGTTCTCCTAGCGCTGTTGCCATAAGATGTCCTCTCCTCTTGTAGCACTTGTTGACTTTCCCTAGTCATTCACATGGCAATCAGCCGTTAATCATATGGGGAGGCGTTGAGGACTAACGAATAATCAACTTGTCTTAAATATCTTGCCAGGGAAATCAGTTAGTCTAGTGCATTTATAAACATATGAACTGTTTATCTCAAAGAAATATGACCACTAAAAGCTACTTATATTTTAGTCTGCAATAATTCACTTATAGTTATGTTTAACATGCAACATTTAAATTAAAAAAACTATTTAGCAATATTATTTTTAATTATTGTAAGCAATGTAACATGAGTATTTTTTTTTTTTAATTTTTACAAAGATTTATCAGATGCCTGGAGCTGCAAGAAGCTTCAATTACTGAATGTGTCTCACAACCGTCTTATTTATATTCCTCCTGGCATAAAAATATGTGCTGATATGAAGACCTTCAATGCTAATCATAATCAGCTGACTCAAACATTTCCACCATGGCAGTGCCCAATGGTTAGTGCAATCTTTTTAATGAAAAAAATATCGGATAAGATCTGAAACCAAAGAATAGAAAAAAGGCTTGTCTAGCATATTTTAGGATCCATATGAACATATGGAACATAATGATTAACAAATCAAATGTAATTAAACATTCATATTTACTTATAATGGTTTCCTAATCCTTAAAAGCTTTATGATTAATCAATTATACTTGGAACAATAAAATCTGAATGTTTCTTCTGATGCCAATGTCTTGCTGTGGAAAATTTGTAAACACATCCCTGAAAAAAATATTATTTCAACTCTCCTCTGGGTGTTGGTTTCATTGACCAAGCTCTTATGCAATGTTTACAGCATTCAATTGAAAAGGATGTATTATTCTGTTCATTTTAAGTCAATCCAGCTAAATGAATCTGGAATTCGGTAATAATTTATAAGCCTGGCTGGTAAGGCTAGGGGACAAGTAGTAGTTTGCTTATTATGATGCTGTTAGTTCATGTTGTTTTTTTTTAAATACTAAATATTCATTTCAGCATGATCTGGATCTTTCTCACAATCAACTCAGCACATTTTTACCCAGTGCTGATCAATTCTGGAATTGGACTTTGAAATGGCTGAAACTAGACCACAATCGCCTGGATGAACTAACTGAGAGCATTGTCAGATTGAGTAGGTCACTGAATTTTTTATTATTCACCACCTCATAGGATATCATTTCCATCTCATCATTTCCTCAGCTTATTTTTCTGGGCCTCACTGATTAATGGTCAATATGACTGTATAGTTAAAAGCATACATTAACAGTTAAGCTTATAAAATGGAGGAAAAAAAGCAATAGGAATATAGAGGTCCCTACAGATTGATTTAGAACTGTCAAAATTCTATGGACATAGCAATATCCTCAGTCTTCAAATAAGCTTGCATGTGAAACTTTATTATTTAGTCTACATTAAAAAGAATGTAATGTCACTAGTAAAGTATTGGTATAATACCCCAGTCACGACTTGGCAGACTTTAAAAATTATTTTTTCCCCATGTATTAGGCTTCAAATCAAGGCTGAGGAGTTGGAGCATTTCAATGGGAGTCAGAAAATATTCCAAAGTCAAGACTCTAGTTCAGCGGTTCTTAAAGTGTGGGTTGTGACCCCGTTGGGGATTGAACGACCCTTTCATAGGTCACCTAAGACCATCGGAAAACACTTAAAAATAATTTTCGTTGCTACTTCATAACTGTAGAGTATTGGTTGGGGGTAGCCACAACATGAAGAACTGTATTAAAGGGTCGCGGCATTAGGAAGGTTGAGAACCCCAGCTCTAGTTGGAGTCAGAATGTTTTTGCCTGTATTGCATGTTTCGACTGTAAATTGTATTAAAGAACTTGCTCACTTTTATAAGGAGTATGTGCCATAATTACTTAAACATTCATATCCTTTAATTTGTAAAAAAAAATATATTTTATGTCTGCTAAACAGGTAGCCTAATCTACCTTGATGTATCTCACAACTTGATAAGGATTTTACCAGCTGCACCACTTTGGCATTGTCTTCTCTCCATTTTTAACTTAAGCAATAACCTGCTTGGGCTTGCATCTCAGAGATCACAACTTCAGAGAACTGTATCATGGTAAGATCAATTTTAAGATAAGCACATGTTTATTTCAATTTACATTTTAGTTGCCCATTTCAATAAAAGCATTTTTTTAAATTTCAATAGCATCATTATATTTTAATTTCAATTTTGACATTAAACATTTCACATAAATTTAATTATTTTTTTAATCAGTTTTAGATTTTTCATGTTGCATTTCTATTTGAACCCAGTTTTTGAATCTTATATAATAAAATTATTTTTTTTTTAAATGTGACTGGCTTGAAAAATATTTTATACTGTTTATGCTAGCAAAGAAGATGTGAAAATATATTTTTTACAACTTTTTTTTAATACATATACTTTCTAGCAATCCTTCTGTGGCCAGTCGTATTGAGTTTCCTGGCACTCAGTTGTCAAAAACCTTGATGGAACTATCTTTAGCCAACAATAAACTTAAAGAGGTTCCTATGGGAATTTCTGACCTCATTAATTTGAGTTTATTAGATTTAAGCGGGTGAGTTTTTTTTTATTGGCTTGATCAAGAGTAATACATTTTTTTAAAACTTCTTCGAATTCTAAAGGAAGTCAATGCCAAGTAATTGATTATGGCTAAAATAATAGATTACCTTTTATTAAGTATTAATTTTGCAAGTATTATCATTTTTTTAAATAAATACATTGCTCAGTTCTCTGACTTCAGAGATTTTTTGTGTCATTTAAATTCAAATTTTTTTATTTTAACCATGAAGAAAGGATGTAAGGGGCAGACAACCCGAGTTAAACATTTTGTAGAGCAACACGTTTGGTCTACAAAAAGAACTGCTTATAGGAACTGCTTATAGGAACTGCTTAAAGAACTGCTTTCTTTCTAATATGGGATGGTTGAGACTGATATGATGGACAGCAATTATCTTAGTTATTCAAGAAATGGAGAAGTTACCTTGGAAAATTGCAATGGTGCCTCACAAATTTGCTGTGGCCTCCAATTTTTTAAATGTTCTTAATTTTCTTCATAATTCCGATGAAGGGAGTTCCTACTTCAATTGATTTATATTGAGTCTGTTACTAACCTTTAATAAGAACAAGGCACAGTTTTAGCCTGATTACATGTAATCTCTATTTTAAACTTAAGGTTTTCTAAAAATGTCTCCCTTAAATATGCAGGAACACAGAATTAACTTCATTACCAGAAGAACTTGGAAAGCTAAAAAAGATTTCAGTCTTGAAATTGGATGGAGTAACTGTCAAGGATAAAAAATTACAAGCCTTAATTTCTGATCAGGGTAATTTTATTTCAGTTTCCTGTCATTAGTATTTCATGAAAATAGCTTTAAAAAAAATAAAAAAAATTTCTCTTTCAGTAACCTTTTCCCCTTAACCAATATTTTGGTCCAAGTTGGCCTGCAATATCTTAATTCACCATGTAGCCTAAGTTTGATCAGTTACCTTCTCAAAGGATATCTGTCTTGTGCCTGAATTTGTTTTGTTTTTTCAAGAGGGGTTTCATCCCAAGTTTATTACATGTCTGTGAGCATATTTATTTTACAATAGTGCTGACTACTGATCACTCTATACTAAAATTGAATTCTGACGCTTTATCATCAGCCTTGTTTCTCATAAACTCGGCAACCCGATCACCAAAATTATTGATGAATCCTTACAATAAATATTCTGTTTAATTTTTTTTAAACATTTTTAATTCCTTTTGTTTTTCCTATTCCTAAATTATTTTTTTTTTGTAGACTCATTAAATAAACAGGAAGTTATTTCTTATCTGGAATACAAACTTAAAAAATGTGTGCCGTCAACTACAATCAAAATGGTGGTGCTAGGATGTAAGGTAAGAAACTTTACAGTTAACTTATTTTCTACAGAGCTATTGTTACACACTGTTGTATAGATATGAAGATTTCATTTGTTTTAAGATTTGGCATGTTAAATGAACAGTACATAACAAAGAACTAAAAAAAAGCATATAATAAATATTATCCCAAGCTAGTGATGCTAACAATATTCAATTTAATTATACTATTAAATTCATAGAAAAGATACAAAATCAAAGATACAGAAATAAAAACTAAATTAACTTTCAGCAACGAACAGTCCATAAAAGATACAAAGATTAATGCATACACACACACAAATAGACTATATTTCATCTCGAAAGTATCTAGGTAAAATAGCAAAAAATCTCTCTCTTGAAAAGCTGCCACCTTATTTTTAGGGAGAAAGTTGGAATCCTCCAGAAAATAAATTCTAGAAATTGTCACCTGGGCGCATTCTGTAGAACAAATTAGAATAGATTCGAACATAGACAACCGTTTCTCAATCAAGGGAGGAGTGGGGTTGGTGCAGTGCTACACATTTTGTCAATATCAAATTAAAAAGGGGGAGAGAGGAGGCAGAACACTTTAGTTCTACTTTGAAAAAAAAAAGTTAAGGAAACACACCTGCTATAACAGTTATTTTAATGGTTGTTTAATCATGCATTATATTTTCTTTAAAATTATTTTTCTCCTTAGAATGCAGGAGGCCAGTGCATAGTCCAGAAGTTGTCTTGTAAAGGGACATCAGCAGAAAGTACCTTTTTTGAACATGGGGTAAATTTAATCAGCTGAAACATAGAGATGTTGTTTTTATCAAAGTAGTTTCTCATTAGATATCTCTTTAACTTTGAAATAATAATGTTATTATTCTTTCACTCTTGACAAGCTGTTTTAGTTTTTATATAATTGAATCAATAGAGAACGACACATCTCAATTTCAATTAATTAATTATTTTTTTATGTAGAAATTGTAACTAAATAACCTTAATTTATTTGATAAAAACTTTAGGATATTGTTAACTTTTAACACTGATTTTGCCTATCTGTTACCAATACAAATGAAGTAACTGAACGTGCCTCTATTCTTTTGAATAGAACATGATTGTCACACAATGGGATGCCCTTCCCAACAGTTCAAGATTTTTATCATTGTTGGGGCAGGTAAATTATTGAAGATATTTATCACAAATAAAAATCTGTTGAGATTGTGTATAATAATTAAATATCAAAATATTTATTTGTATAATCATGATGCCACAAGGAAGTGGAGATGATAATGTGATATTAAACAAATAAGTAGTTTACAGTTGTTAGATAGTGTCATTTTTTCTCTTATCATTGAGCTCTCTCATTGCTCATAAACAATCCCTAAACGTCATATTTGTATTCAGTGAATTATATCTCAATTGAATTTACAGACACAGAAGAGACCCTTGTCCTTTGAAATTTGGGAATTTCCTGAAATTAGTGAAACCCAGACCTTACTGCCTTGCTTTCTCACACTTAATTCTCTTTATATAATTGTGCATGACATCATTTCCAATGGAGTGGATCTGCAATTGGTGTCTGAGAAAATTCTATTAATTCAGGTATTTCAACAAATACACTAAAATAAATAACTAAATTGGTGACTGAGAAGAAGAATTATAAATATTTCCTTTGTTTTCACTTAAAAATTATTATTTTAAACAGCAATTATTTATTCACACTTTGAGATCTTGACTTTAAAAAATAATAATAATTTTTTTTGTGCATAAAAAAAAATTATAATGAAAAGAAATTGATTTGACTGTAAATATTTCTAATTTTGTCAGGCACATGTTTAAATATTTCCTCCTCATTTTCTCATAAGGCTTGTGTGCATCGACCAGAGATAATCATTGCATGCTTGTACCCACATACACTAAACGCTGAGGAGATTGAAGAAGATTTTAAAAGGGAAGCTCTGAGAGAACACATCAAGGCTAGATATGTGTTTCTCAATCTTGAGTACAGTGATATGTTAGACAGACTTCACCAAGCAATTTATGAAGCCTGTGAAAATATGAAAGATTCATCTTTTGAGAGAGATCGAACTCTGAGCCAGAGGCAGGTGCCATCCTCATTTATAAAAGCTGCTCAGAGAGCTAAGGAGATGAAGAAAGACAAAAAAATTTGCAGCATGGAGGAGTTTTTCAGTGGCATAGAATGTACCTCAGCTGATCTAGAAGATGGTGTTGATGCAAACCTTAAAAGTATGCTTTAAATCTATTCCAAATTCAAATAATTCAATAATTCAAAATATCTTCATTTTCAGTCTTTTCCCTTCAACCAATAGAAAAGTAAAAAAGTTGCTATACTCTCATAAGCTCTCATCTTAAACCTGTTAAAATGAAGGAAAATTGGTGAATACAGAATTTGGTTTTTACTTATGGGAGCCTGCGCTTTTAGGCAATGAGTAAAATTGTGTAAATTTACAGGAATACTTAAAATTTTCAACTGCCTATTCAATAGTTTCAATTCAAGAATTAAGAAAGCCGTAGTGTTTTTGAATGGTATTTGTAGCCTCATTCTGATATATAACAGGTTTATTTAAAAAAAAAATTTTTTGTTGCATCATTTTGTTTAGCTCCAAGGCGCTCTGCATCCAAATTCTGCATGTTCATTTTGCCTTAGTTAGCTTCTCCAGCCACCTGTCTGTCTCTGTAATTATGTACAAGTTCTGAACATTTTAGACTAAGAAATATAACCAATAATCTAGAGTAACTAAAATTTTGCTTAGAGAAACTTTTTCTTGTGAGATAGAACAAAAGTAGTAATCCTTATTAAGACAAATAGGATTCATTCATTAAAAGAAAGGTTCATTTTAAGTTTAACTCTTTTAGGCTATACTCATCGCTCCTATAAACCTTTCAAAAGAGTCAACACAAAACGCTATGCTTGGGGATTTAAAATGAATTGCTTATAGATATGAAATTCTGTTAATTAAACTAATCATTCATTTATTTATCATTGAATAGTGCATGAATTCTTACTGCAAGTGGGTGCCATGCTTCACTACAATATCCACAGAGGTGAACTGGCAAAATGTGTTATTTTAAACCCTGCTTGGCTTTTTCGCATACTCAGTGACTTTCTTAAGGTACTGGTTTTGAGTTTTATTATTGTTTTGTAACTTGCAATTTCTACAAGAAAATAAAGTTTAATTTAAGATCTAGCTCTAGAAAATGCTAAGGTTACTCTTCTTTTTTCATTACAAATTTAACATTATGTCCATCAAATAAGGCTACATTAATCACCAGCACTTATATTTTCTGTGTTTTTGTGGATGTTTTTTTTTTAAATAATAGATCAGTAAACTTGTGTAAATATTTTTTTTTCTTATCCTAGTCTGTGACTAGAGGAAAGGGAGGAAGAATCACTCAGGCAAAGCTAACAATAGAAGCCTTTCAGAATATTCTGAGAACAGATGTAGATGAAAAATATTTCACTGCATTTCTCCACCTTCTGGAAGCCTTTAACATAGCAGTCAGGATTGAAGACGCCAACAGACAAGAAGTGTGGGTATACTGAAATCAAGCCTTAGAAATTGTAAATATCATATTTCAATCAAATTCCCTTTTTTTCCCACAGTAAAATTCAGTGTTTGGACCTCTGTAAAGATTCTTGATAATGGTGATTCAGTCTGAACATAAAGAAACAAATCTTCACGGGAACATGAGGATGTTTTATTCCAATTGAAAAATTAAACCGATTATTGAAAAATCAAATGTCATATAAATTCATTATGACATTGTTTAGTATAGAGTAGGTTTAATTGAAATCGCTAAAAAAACATGCCAGGTAACATACAGTTGCTCTCAGAAGAGACCTAGTTGCATTATTCATTTTACTGGGCATCTAATATTATTTTGGAGTTGAGGTGTGCAGTTTGAGCTTCACAGTATAAATTTGTACATACTCCAAGACCCCTGAAGTGGTGGAATGAAACAGCTGCTAAGATTGGTGTTTCTCAAATGGTGGTCCATGGACCTGCTCTGGTCCACAAGTCTTAAGTTGCCAGTCTGCACAACATGAATATTTATGGTCGAATAAAAATAAAATAAAATTAATTTGGCATCGGTCCCTGATGTAATTTCAAAACTTAAAAGTTTGGGAAACGCTGGCTTAGATAACACTTCCCTTAATGTCAAGTAGTATCTATAATAACATTATCAATACCAAGTTATAAGCTTTGGATGCTACTTCAACTCAGTTAAGGGAGAAATAATTAATATTTTAAGAGCCTTAAGAGAAAACAATTTCAGGTGTACCCTGGACCCATTATCTAATTAACAGTGACTGGGTGGCCAAATGGTCTAAACTGAGCAAACCTCAAGTTGGTGGTCTGGTGTTCAAGTCCAGCCAAAGACCAGTCAAGCAAAAACATCACCCCGGGTGGATGAGATTCGTTAACCTTGGTCAGCAACTCATCTAAGAGAAGGAAACTCTGAATTCAAACCCGGAGTTGGAGTCCCGTAAGGCGCAAACAATGACAATTCCTGCAACCGAACCCATCCCTGGTCGTCTTGACGTAGAGTCTTGCCACTGGATATGGTGGGCTCGGACGAGAGAGTGAGGTAGACGCCGCGAAACTCTTCTTCACTTTAAACAAAGTCATCCGCGCAAGTCATCAGTCACCAGACGACTCGATGGTCCTCGTCGATCCTCAACGGACGAACAATATATATATCTAATTAACAGGGAACACTTAGTGATTTAGCCTGGTGTGTCACCTTATAAGTCACCAGTCAGCCTAAAAAACACCTGAAGTCATCATATAAATGTACTATCTGTAGTTTGCATTAAGGTGTTGTGTGTGTGACATTTCCCCCATGAAGTCATCATATAAATGTACTATCTGTAGTTTGCATTAAGGTGTTGTGTGTGTGACATTTCCCCCATGAAGTCATCATATAAATGTACTATCTGTAGTTTGCATTAAGGTGTTGTGTGTGTGACATTTCCCCCAAGCCGCGCCTTCACATTTGATTTATAAACATCTATTGAATGAATACTTTCTCAATTTCTTTACAGATTGCTTATTCCATCATTGCTATCCCAGCAGCCACCTCAGATTCATCTGGATCCCCATCCTGGTGGCTACAGGTCAATGAGACTTTACAGATTATCTGCCATACCATCTGCTCTGTGGATCCATGTGATTTCACAACTCATTACAGCATTTGAGCGCTATTCTACCTGCAAGTGGAACACTGATGATCAGATGCGAGCCTCAAGTTTATCACAGGACAGAATGAAATCATTTAAAATAAGTTGTCGAACAAGGTACAGTCTTCTTATTTCTTCTGGGCTTTGAAATGGAGTGTAGATATCCAAGTAAGCATGGGTGTGTTTTCACATTTTTTATCAATACATGAAATGGACCAAGTTCTCAAATTGTATACACCAGTTCTTTTTTTCCTGAATTTGCTGAGATAAATTTATTAACTTCATTTGGTTGACTGTAATAAAGATTTGCAAAAGCAAAAATAAATGTATGTTATAAAAGTTATTAACATAGTACACTGTGATGAATGTCATTTTTAGACCTTGCCCCATGCAGAGTCCAATTCTATAAAAATCAACAGGAGGAATTGACAGATATGCAAAATCCAAAGGGAAGAAGACAAGAAAGAAATGTTTTAGATGCATGTTACTTTGAAATTGATTTTCCCATTTTATTTGTCATCACATTGTTGTATCAGGTGTAAAAGAACAACTGTAAATTTTATAAACGACTTTGTGTTCCACAAGAAATTTGTCAGAAGAGGCTTTATTTTTTTTTATTTATTACCATACTCAATATTGTTTGAATATTTAGGCTGCATTTTTAAACATAGATTTCTCACTTCATCAATAAATCTTAAAAAGTATTTGAATTTAATATTATTAGAAAAAAATTAAACCTTCAAATATTCAGTTTGCTCCTTTATTTAATTAACTTAATTCTCCTTTAAAATGAAGGGAGCAAAACATTGTCATTGACACATAATATGCCCCATACATTTTTCAGTCTAAAAGGATTACAGATTTCAAATAAGAACATTCAATACTGGAGGACAGGCATCATGATCAACCATGACCAGGGATACGTGGTAGTAGAAGAGGTTGAGTGTTGCACTTTTGAGAGGTGGGTGATGGGTGATTTATCTTCAAAACTATCTAATGTAAAATGTTTTGAGGCCACCAAAATTGTTTTATATTACTGCAATCTTAAATTATAGATGGCATTAGATAATACTTTCATTTAGTAAAAGAATGTCTTAAGTCATTTTAAATTCTATTAAATTGCACATAAATTTAAGGAAATAGTAGAGCTAGGTATGTGGAAGCTTGAATCAAAAGAGAGGACAAGCTTCCACATACCTTGTTCTACTGTTTCCCGGTCCTTCATTTATTAACATATACTTAAGACCAACTGCTATTCTCTTTGGTCTTCCATTGTATTATTAAAACGTTAAGTGTGCAAGTGTAAATATTTTAAAGAATTTCCTTTTTATAGGTTAATTAAATTAAGGTTTAATTTAATATTTATTTTATATTAATAATAAGAGCAATCGGGCTGATGTTAAGTTCTTTATTAATGTAAGGTATATTTTGTTCAGCTTACAACATTTTTTTGAACATGTCTCTAGAGATGGGAAAGGTGAACCAGGAATTCTAGTGACTGTTCAAACGACAGGTAGTGATGAAGTTGACAGTCACCTGGCCAATCTGAAGAAGCTTTCAGTCATTGGTATTGTGAGGGATGAACTTGAGGAGATTCTAGAGATATTCTATCCAAGTTAGTGCTGATATTCAGTTACTGCTCTCTATTGTGAAATAATCATTCAATGTTTTTTTTTTAAAAACCGTCACAAACTCAACTGAGCGAGGTATACTTGATAGCTTCATTAAGATTTCATTGTAATAATAATAAACATTTTGAATGGAAAAGCGGTGCAGCCACAGGTAGTCTATGGAGTGTTTTGAGTTGAATAATGAATTGAGACACCAGTGAACAAGATTGTGCCAAGATTTAAAAAGAGTCCAAGATGATTACCATCCCTGTTTGACAGATTTTGGTGTAGCTTCTTATGGGCATAGTAGTTATTTTAAAAGAGTAGCCCCAAAGAAGGCAGGCTATAATTAGATCACAAGCATACCCCTATTGTCTAATCTGCCAAATAAAAGACATGAAAGAATATTTGCCAAAAATCTAGTACATGGGGCATACCACTAGAACATTTCACATACATGAATTTCTAACTACTCACAGGATATACATTTTGTAATGCACACTGCATTTTTAATTAATGATGTTTGCGATTGACAATCATAAACTCTTAATAGATAAGACTCATCAACACTTTTCAGAATTTCGAGACCCCACAGAGGCAGAAATGAAACCTTTTGCTCTTTGTCCACTCTGCTACAATCAAGTTCAGCCATTCTCTGGCTTTATAAAAGTTCCAGAACTTCATTTCTCTGTCCGAGATTGTGGCCAGGTATATAAAACAATATATTCTAGCATCCCTAAACTCATGACTTATTTGAAAATGTTTCCATGATAATATTGTGCTTTTTTATCCTAAATAAGTATTGCACCTTAAATTCATAGCCAAGGTCTGTTTTTAACCCTTAATAAAAATAATTCATATATTGATAGTTTTAAAAAAACGCGTAGGATGCTAAAAAGTAAATAAATTTATTTAAAATTCAATGACCGAAAGCTGGCTATGTCTTAGGTTTTTCATTTGTCCTTTTCCTTTTAAACCAAGATATACGTCCAGCTTTTTATTGGCTTAATTGCATGTTGCTTAAAACAGATGGTTCTCTGGAAAGACTTTGTGACATGCAGTATGGGTCCTTCATCTTTAGAGCAGCTTGTCCCTGAGTATCTGTTTTTTGAACTACCACCACAACTGAGATTGAAATCAGATGATCTAGAGTTGCTGGACACAAAGTTAGGTCGTGGAATGGCTGGTGCTGTACAAAAGGTCTGAGTCTTATCTTTGATGTTGACTGTAATCAGTCATTTCATTGATCTTAGGTATGAGAAATAATAACAAAAATAATATAAAACAGCTCCAACTAGGGAAATAGTTATCAATATTATCTAAATTTAATAAAATATTGGTACAAAAATATTTTACTAATATATCGGTACTACAAATTTATTTAAAAGTGATAGAATAGAGTTTTGAGTACATAAAATACATATAAGCCATTGGAATTTTCTGTCATTGGTAAGACTTTAATGTAGTAAGCTGTTTAAAAGGATAATTTTTGTAAAAATTCAGCAACACAAAATATGTTTCACTAACTGCTTTTTGTTTTGTTTTTTATTTAGGGAAAATATAGAGACACGGAGGTGGCAGTAAAAATATTTCATACTCCATTAAGGCCAGTGTCATATCATAAGGATTATATGTACCCTAATTTAAGTGGTATGCAAGCACATGACGCTGCTATTTCCAGACAAGAACAAGATCAAAATGATACAGAACAGAGAAAAGTGAGCTGAATTTTTTTTAAATAGTTTTCATTTGGGTTTTTTCATCTGTAAAAGGAAAATTAATAGATAGTTACATTTAATTACAATGTATTTTTAAAAAGTTGCTCATTATTTAAATGCAATCTTTATTTTGTTAATAAACTGTAGGGAAAGCTAGTCTGCTAGGAAAAATCGTGGAATGACGGGTGATAATGGTACCTCAATACTTAGATTGTACACACAATAAAAAAAGCTTGAAATACTAATTAATTGCCCTAGATTGCAAATAATGAAAAGTTACTGTTGTAAAATTAGATTAGACTGAGCTAATCAAAAAGGAGTTTGATTTAACTAATTGTATATTTGATTTATTTTAAATGTGGATCTAAACATTTTTAAGCAGAGACTCATAATAGTCAAATAATTCAAAATAATAGTTTATAAAAATATTATGTCAATGATTTTATGTAATTTCATCTCTAAAAAAAAAAAATGTTTACATTCATTTAAACTAATTTTTTTTTTAAATAAAAAGATTACATTTAAATTAAAAATGTGTAGATTAATTCAGATCACCAAGTGGCTACTAAAATGTTGAGTTTTTTGTTGGTTTTTTTCAATCCAAACACTCACAGCATGTTTGTTAAGATGATAGGACTGTCAAAATGTTTGTGTACATCTCCTTTACTATTTCCAATATTGCAATATCCAAACCAGTATGTACATAGAATTTATGGGACATCCCTTAGTATGAAAATAATGCAAGATTTGAAATCTTTTTTTTAACTGTTTACAGAATAAGAAAGGATACAGAAATTGTACTTTTATGTTCCTTATCAACATAATTTGCATGGAATTAAATCTTAATCAACACTTGAGATCTAATTTTTAGCAAAACTATTCCTTAGGAATTATGCTCATTGTTAGGCTCTAAACAGGTCTATTAGCTTTCCTACAATAATGAAACACAAGAAATGTTTTACAATATTTTACTAGCTTCACAACTAATGATTATGTACAAGGGAATCTATAAATAGTAATGGTACTAGTAACTTTTACAGGTGTTGTGAGATCCACTGAGTCAATAAAACTGTTTTTTAAATTAAAATTAATTAAATTAGCCTATGTTGGTGTTTCTGAGATTGTTTCATTTATATATGATTATATGATTAGTTTTTTTTTAAATTCAGTGTTAACATTTAAATTAAAAAAGCTAATATTATTTTATCTAATTTTGAAATAACCAGATCAGCAATGCATTTTCCGATGTCCGTAGAGAAGTAAGCGTCCTCAGTAAATTGAATCACAAATGCATTGTAGCTTTCATTGGGGTTTGTGTGAAGCCACAGTTATTAATTGTCATGGAACTGGCCCCACTAGGGAGCTTAAGGTCTGCACTGAAAGATGGCTATGAACCAAAACCAACAGATAAAACTATATCTCATATGGTCTTTAATAAGGATTTGACCTACAAAATGATTTTGCAGGTGAGATCTATATGGTAATTTATTTAAACTTAAATTGCTAAAATACATGTACAAGTTACAAGCTATTTTCTTTTCTGAAATAGATGTACTCAGCCTATGTCAAACCACTTTCAATGTTTGGTCAACCAGCTTCAGTTTATGGGCCAAACTTTCAGTGCATAAGCCACACCTCGCATATATTGTGTTAGCTATTTACATTTATTTTTGGCAAAGATATTTTAACTAAAAATGGAACCCTAAATAATAGCATTATTGAAACTAAGGTAATGTATAGTTTATCAGGGGATGTCATCTGTACTTTGTCCACCTCCATACATTTAATAGTATTTTATAAAATTGTCCCTTCAGATTGGGTGTGGCCTTGCCTATCTTCATGGCAGCAATATTATTTACCGAGATCTGAAGCCAGACAATATTCTTCTCATGTCTCTTGCGATTGAAGCCCCTATCAATGTAAAACTCTCTGACTATGGAATTTCTAAGTTTGCAACAGCTCAGGGTATCAGTGGTTTGTTTGGTACTCCAGGTTACATGGCACCAGAGGTCATGGCCAAACAGGCTTACACTAGTAAGGTAAAAACAGTTTTTATATTTCCTGTTTGTTAAAGATTACAATTTCCTTTTCATCATTAGTGCCTAATGCGCAAATGTGACCGGGGGGGGGGGGGGTGTCTCTTGTCTTGGCCTCTTCATGTAACCCAACCTCATCTACAATGTGGGAGGAGAAATGGAACACTAACCAATGCTTAATTTTATATAAAAGTGTATATGTATTATAAGATAGCACAATTTTAACTTCTTAAAAAAAAAAACTATGTTTAGGTATGATTAAAATTCATTTAAATACACCAATGCCAAGCTTATCAGATAACAAAGAAAAAAATTTCTTGGAATTAAACTGCATTTCTTTGAAATTGTTTGATTTTGCTTGATAGGTAGATATCTACTCATATGCCATTGTGATGTTAGAGATCTTGACAGGAATATCACCACTGAGTCGTGAACAAAAGCCAATGATTTCCAAGATGTTGCAAATGGCTTCAGAGAATACTGTACCTCCTCAGATAAATGTAAGTCTTTTGTTGTAGATAATCTACAAAGAGAGGAAGTATTAACAATATGTATTTGTATTTCCAAACAGAAAGAGCTAACTAAAATTATAGGTGGGATGTGTCAGTAATATAAGTAGGCTAACTGTCTGAGGATCAAATCCTAGAAGCACCAAACATCAAAACCAGTCAATTTGCTGCTTAAGTCAGTCCTATGTCTCTGATGATCTGTTTTATTTGTGAGTTACAGCCTATTTATAAATGCCTGAATTTAATTTATTCTAGGGCTACAAGATCCAGTGCAATTTCCCATACCTAGAATTTCTGATGCCTGAATGCTGGAGTCGAAACGTGGATGATCGACTAACAGCCCAAGAGATTATCAAGTTGATAAAAGCTGATCAGTTTTTACTTCTCCATGACAGTTTATGGTTGAATAGACGTAGTTATAAAGTTTCCTGCATGTACGCTTGTGAGGTATACCTTTTATAATTTATAGCAATAGATATTTCATCTTGACACCATTGCTTCTCTTATATAAAGTGCAAGTCACATAGAGTTTAAACAAAGTATAGTTTTCTCTCTGTTGTGTTCAAATTGTTTTCTTCTTCTTCTTCTATATCTTAAGGGCCCACGATCAATTTATTGATCATTTTGGCTCCTATGCATGTAGATGGGATTTGCCATGTTTCTGTTACTGGTGGTGATGAGGAAATTATGCGCTAGGGGTTTGAAGGCTTGAGGCAATAGACACAAATGTGTCTAGTGTTGTCGCCTCAACTGTTCCTTTTGAAAGATGGTTCCAGTCCCTGATTGTCTTGGGCAGGAATGGGCAGCTCCTATACTGGCTTCTTGCTGGTTTTATTTATATGCTGAAAATATACCATGCCATCAAAAAACATTTCCATTTGTCTTGATCAATAAAAGAATCTTATCTTAATGATGATCTTGCTATTTTTATCAGAAATATCTTTCAAAAGATTAAATATATATCTGTGCCTATATTCCCTGCTCCTGTTATCTTTCCCCACCCCCCTTTTTTTTCTCTATTTACCCCACTATATTTGGACTCATTTTTTCACTAATATTCTCTGAAAACAATTACGTTTTAAGGTTTCTATCCTGATTCCAAATTTTAATATTTTTTAGACTGTTGGTCGATGGAATATATGGATATGTGAAAGTGGACATTCAGAAGTGAGAACTTTCAGCGTGTATGATGTTGAAACATCTTGTTTTACAGTCAACAGATGGCCATCAAATGGGAATAAAATTATATCTATGGCTAAAGTTGGAACTAAAATTTGGCTGGCATGTCAGGTATTTGATTGATACAAAATATAAATAAAATAATGCTTTGGTTTTTAATCATGCTTTACACAAATGCATATTTTATCTTTTATTTTAATTAATGGTCATAGTCAGTAATAAGTTAATAACATTACTACTAGATCCCTGTTTGGTCAAATGCAAAACTTTTTTTGGCATGAACTTCAAGAAGAATTGAATACATACTCAAGTAGAGGAAACAATTTCATTGTTATGAATCATGAACTTTGATCTTACTATCCTTATTATTAAGGATAAATCTAGCCAGTATTTGACTAATAGTAATAATGGAATCATTAAAGTTTTTAGGTTCTAATCTTTATTACCACAAACATTTAAGCTAGTTCTCTAATTTTGATTGAAGCAATCATAATATTTGCCTTACAGTTAGCTTTAGTCTTCTAAAACATTAACAATATACCATCACTCTGTTGTAACTGAAGTAAACTTTGCATATTCTTAGGCCTATATCTGAACATAGCAATACTACTTCCCTTGTTTAAACTAGCATAATATATCATCCTATATCTGAACAAATAAAACTTTCCTCTTTTAAACTAGCATAATTTATTATTAGTTGAATCACTTATTCTACCAAGTTGGTCAAGAAAAATATAACTACTGAAGTAAACATTTAATCTGGCAGGGTCAGAAGAATTTAGAGACCATAGGAAGAGGCAGTCAGAGCAACTTGGAGCTAAGTTCTGGACTCAATCTGGATGCTGAGCCTCTAAAAATTTTTAACCACAAATTTGAAACAGCAGAGGTATTTTTTTTAAAAATTCCATTTTCATTAAGGAAGGTTTTACAAATGTGAGGCAAATTCTTATGCAAGAAGCACTGTAACCTTATTGGGTTTGTTTCCTTTTGATTTACTCCTTCTTACTTTTATAATAAATTGACCTGTATGTTAATGTATATATTTTAAAATTTTGATAAAATCCTCACACCATATGTTACTTGGAGACATTGATGTTTCACTGTGATCCTGTTTCAGTTTCAGGATACCCTTTTCTTTATTTGTGTATGATAATTAGAGACATGTTATTTAATTCTATTTATTATTTAATTCACTTGCACTTATCAATACCAATGCAGTTTTGACCTACCTCCATGTGGTACATTTGTGGACTGTCTTATTTGTAGTATAAACTATAGATTCTGGAGAATCACCAGATATAAAATATGTAGGAGAAAAACCTAGAACCCCCCCCCCCCCCCCCCTCACCCACTTAATTAAAAAAATATAGGAGAAAAACCCCGAACCCCCCCCCCCCCTTACAGCATCCTGGTACAAAACAAATATTCCAAGTTTATCAAGGGAGTAGAACAAATCGTATGAACTTATAACACCAATTCTGTGTTAGGCAAACACCAAATCACTTGTGTATACTAGCAGAGCATTAAAAATATTGCTGATTTGCTTGGTAATAATTTTTATTTATATTTATAGTGAGTACAGAACATTTTTAAAAGTAATTTGAACTGAGTTACACTGGATTTTATGGCTACTTTTATTATGATTCTGTGTCATTGTATGTTTTTATTTGCCCAGAATCTAACTCAGTGATCATGAGAGGGAAGTTTAAACTTTTTCTTAGTTTAGTTAGTAGTAGCAGTTGTAGTAGTAGCAGTTGTGGTAGTAGTAGTAGTAGCATCTGTGGTAGTTGCAGTTGTGGTAGTAGTAGTAGTAGCAGTTGTGGTAGTAGTAATGCATAAGGAAAAGAAACAGATGTTGTTAGTACTTCGAATGAAAATTTAAAAGTAATAATAGAGGCATGAGGAGCAATACACTGTCTAAAATTCTCTTGCTAGCTGGGTCTGAGATGGGGGTAAAATCAAAAGAAATCACTTACACAGGTCTTCCTGTAACAGTTAAACAAGACAGACTAGATACAAATTTTAAAAAAAACAAGTGCAGCCAGTGTGTCTATTTATTTTTTTTTGCACCAAGTTTTGTTTACAGTCATATTTTGACTCACGATCTTTGTGGACTATATTTATTTAGCATTTTCTAAATCTTTGTCCAAAGCTCTTCAATAAATTATATATTTCTTTTAAAAAAAAATGTTAAGAATCTTTAAAAAATAAGATTAATGTCAAAATTATCCTGCATCATTCATAACTTTAAATCTCCAAAACTGGAAAGGTTTTATTTTGATTGATAATGGTGATGTAACATATTATTTATAGTATGGTAACCATGATACTACATATCTCATGTCACTAGAGTAGTAAAGTTTATTACATCCTGATGTTTTCTCACTGTGATTTTTTAAAATTGTATCCACAGACAAGTGAATGTTTTATTTTGATTGGGTTCAGTAATGGATGCCTTACTGCTGTCCATTTGAGCAACCCACTACAGAAGATGGCTGTCAGTACAACCTATCAGATCAAGCTTCATGACGGTTGTCCAGTCACTGACATTTGTTCTGTCAACTCAACTTCTATTGTTGCTGCTTGTGGTGTCAAGCTATACTTCCTTGAGGCACGTCCTCAAAAGATCAGTGCAACACAGACTATACGTCCAGAACTGATAAAATCTGGATCCTTGTGTTTGCAGACCACCCTCAGACTAGATACTTATGAACCCATCAGGGCCATCGTGGTGGCACAGGAGGCTATTTGGTGCAGTTTTGAATACAAACCCTTATTAGTGAAAGTAGATGCTAAGCTCAAACGGGTTGCGGCCACCTTTGTGTTGAAATGGGACTGGATCAGGGACTTGGTCAAACTTGAGCATGATCCAAACACCCTGCGACCAATACCAAGAAATGCAACATCTGATAGTGAGGTGGTTAACCAATCTGATAACAATGGGGCGGTGCACCACTCTGACAACACTGGGGCGGTGCATCTCTCTGACAACAACAGCAAGAGGATGAGCGGCAGTGGGGATGATGTTTTTTCAGCTGCCACAAAGGCCGATTCCGAGTCAAATGATAATACTAAGGATTCACAGTCAAGATCTGTCAGCTTCAGTCTTTCAGATAATCGTCCTCCAGTTCCTCCAATGAGAGGACAGCCCACAAATTTGGTACAGAGTTCCAGCATGCCTTCTTTGAATCCTCCCCCGCTGCCTTTTAGTCAAGAAGAAATTTTAAGTGTTACCAGCATGATCCTGTCCGCAGATGTTTTGGTCCTAGGGACAAATTGTGGGGGGATAGTGCTATTTCCCCTTGTGCACAATTTTGAAGATCTTTTAGGAACTCAACAGTCAGTTCAGCTGCCATTACTCCGACACCCAAAAGAGAAATCAGAAATGAGTACCAGACCTAGAGCCAGAACTACTAACTCTTCAACTAGTAGCATTCAAGCTAATCCTATCACAAAGTCTATTTCATCGATGGTGTTAGCAAACGAGAAGCTTGTATCACTACACAAAGTAGAGACACCTTTTCAGTTACATCTAAGACCAAAACTGCTCAAAAGAGAAGCTGAAAGAGGTAATGATAGAAGGCATGGAAGTATAGGGGAACCACATGATTCTGTAAATTCAGTGTCTGGTAGCATTATTAATGAACCTGCAGTTGAGGACAATCGGGGAAGATCTACAAGCCGATGCTCTCAACAGTCGAATATTTCCACCATTTCTGAACATGAATTGTCACGGCACTGGGGTACAGCAGATGTTGCTATTTGGGACAAAATTTCTTGGTTTAGATTAAGTGCCTTGAGAAAATATCTGCAGGATGTGGCTTAGTCATCATGCTTAATTAAAATTATTATTAGTATTTGTGCCTGTTGTGTTTAATATACAATACCAGTTTCCTTAACTTATTCTCATCAGCTGCCCAAACGGAAATACACATCCATTATTCATTAACAAATATCCTTAATTATGTTTTATTTTATGTTCTTAAATATAAAATGGTAACTAACTTAAGACGAATGCTTCCAGAAATGGATGAACTTAAGAAAAAGATTTACAAAATTTTTAAAAATTCAAAATTAACATTTTAGACAAATGGTACCGGTACCAACAGATAAAATTGTCCAGTTTTATTTATTGACACTTGATTATCACACTACCAACACTTAGTTACCACTGATGGTCAGTCTTGGACAATTTTGTTGCGGCAGGTATTGTGAAATACAATTGAGAGGGATGTGTCACAACACACCAGTGGGAATGAGTTACAATTTTTTCCCCTGACAAAATTTGTATTTCTCTTACACTGACCTGTGTTCTTGGTAGTCTACACTAAATACACTGCACAATTTTTGTTAAATTATGAGAATATAAAAATAAAATTTTGCTACTAATTACTCGGCTGATACTGTAACATTACCGGGTAATGCAAATGGGCAAGATTTTTCATTCCTGTTCCAAGAGTGTTGGTGTCACACTGGTAAATTTAATGAGCAACGTGGTTAGACTGACGTGCACAATGTTAAAACAAGTTGCTAAAAATTTGACGAGGGCTAATATGTGCTGTATCCTAGATCTGAAATGTATATTCTAACTTGCAACTACTATAAATATGATAATTATAGACTCTGTTCTCAGTTAAACCACATCCACTTGTTTTTGTCTTTGCGAAGGTCATAAATAATAACCATATTACAAAATCCTTTAATAAGAACAAATTCTCATAATTATAATCCCCTGAAACTGCAACTCATTTGCTGTATTCCTTTTTTTTTTTTTAGCCTATAACTACGTTGCCTGGCTGTGTAGGACAGCTGTAGTTGGGGCACAAGACCCTATCATAATCTGAGTCTTCTTTTAAAATTTAAAAATACATGATCTCATCTGCTATACAAAATCTGAGTGATTTTTTTTCCTCCAGAACATTGAATTTTGAATTTCCAACTATTTTTTAAAACCACATTCACTTCTACTTATAGCTTTTTTACTTATTAGATCAAAGACAAAAAATGTTTTCCATGTGTTTTATTACATTATAATTTGTACTCAGTTTTAATGCTACATGTTATGTTATCAATGGCTTTCTACTTTATTTTTTGGTGGCCTTTCATCTTTTTGCACCTTAATGGCCATCACTGTCATTTGAGATTCTCAAAAAGAATGTAGAGACAGGGTGGTGGATGCCATGTGTGCATTTAAGAAAGTTTAAATGATTATTTTTTTCCCCCAGTAACTTTTTTTTTTTCATTTAAATTACAATTACATTGTTGATTTGTTGTACTGGTATTATGTTTGGTGCCAGAGCAGATGGCCAAGTATACCCGGAAGTGGTGTCCTATAATCCATGGGCCAAAATTTGGCTCTCCAGGGTATATAATCTTGCTGGCCATCACTATCCCCTAAATAAATTAAAATAATTCAAGGCCCAGAAAAATGTTTAGGGCAAAATTTATAGTTTGGTAAGTTTACCAAAGAAGTAAAAACAAAAATAATTTTTTAAAGTATTTTCCATTCAAGGGTTTTCTTTCTAGGTTACGGTATTCTTCTTAATCCATTTATTTATAAAGTTAGTATTAATGATGCAAAATAAGTTAAACTTTTGTTGATGATGTTATGAAGGATTGACTGGTAAAAAGACAGCTTAAAAGGTGTTTTTGGAGTGGCTAGGATAGAACATTTGCTTTAACTTGTGACCAACGGTTAAAATTATAATAATTTTTTTTATTTATGACTTATTGCAGTAACATTAAAAGGGATTATGTTTTTACATCTGGTAAGATATTTGACTGGTATGTTACATTCTCTTATTATGTTAAATTTTCTTTTTTTGTAGTTTATGTTTTGAAATCAGAATAAAAAATATATGATGAGCAACAATTAAAATCTATAAAAGATAAATATTTTAAACAATTATTTTTTCTAATGTGTTCAATATTACTCATAATGACTTTAAAAAAGCATGACTTAAATAGCAACCACATCAGTAATAATAAATTATACTCATATTTTGGGGCAACATCTCCTTCTGCTTAAAACTTTATTTTTGGCTACATTGCTATCAAAGTATTCAAAGAGGAGTAGGGGTTTTCCATTAATTACTTCAAAAATGTAACATATTTTTTTTACCCCCCCCCCGTCAACTATTGTTAAAATTTTAATTACCCACCCCCCTAAGTAATTATGTCAACATTTTTTACCTCCCCCAAAAAAAAGGAATTATATTATAAATAAATTTATAAATACTACATTTTAATATTTTAATTTGTGCTGATCTATTTTAATGATACAAAATTGTAGGAACAATTTTTATCACATCTTTAGCTTGTTAACAAGTTAAAAAGTTTACAAAATGTACATAAGCAAAAATTATTGATTCAAGTACTGCTATTTGACAGATAAACGGGATGTTCTCTCCCCATCTTTTTTTAGGAAAAATTACATTAAATGAGTTTGATATCAAACCTATTCTCTACTTTGATGCTGTAATCAAAACTGTTCATCATCTTTTTAAAATATATTAATTGTATAAGTGGGCCCCAGCATCCCATAAAATCTTTCACTTTGAGAACCTCTGATGTAAACATTTGGTTTCAAGTCAATTTTTTCTTCAGTAATGCTAAATTAACTCATTTGTGAAGTTTTTAATTAAAAATGTATTGTTCCTCAACCTCTAAGATGAGTTTTGAGTTCAAGGCAAGATTAATATTGGACCCACTAAACATTTAGTATGATATAATATTTTCTGTTTTATAACTGCATTAATTTTGCAGTCCTTAAAACAAAAAAATATATATATTCAATATGTAAAGCTGTCAACAGTTTTAAAATTTCTTGTTCCCTCATTATTTCAAATAACTGGAAAGATTAATTTGAACTATAAAAAAAAAATGTTTCCTTCATAATATCATAACATAAATTATGATTTCACTAAGCATTATTAAATGAATACCAAGCAATGGTAATAAAATAAAAGATAAAAATACATAATTTTTACCCCAAAAGATCATCTTGATACCATTGGCCTTTTAACTTTTACTGAATTATTCACTTTGTATTTATTGAAAGTAGAATTATTTTTTGTTTTACATTTAAAAAAGCAAGCGGAAATAAAACTGTTTTAAAACTGTCAACATTAACCTCTGTTTTAAACTCAACTAAGAGCGAAATAACTCCACTAAGAGCAAAACAACAGGTATCTTCAAGAGTAGCATTTCTTTCCTGTACTATGTTTTGATGTTTAAATTACAAACACGTAAGAAAAATTCATTTTTGTTTTTACACAACCTTGGCCTGAGACACAGCTGACACCAAGTTGAATATGTATTTGTCAAAATCATGAAATCAAGATTATATATTTCGTAACTTAATATGAAAGAACAAAAATAATTCAATAAATTGAATTGAGAAAAAAAACAAATTAGCAATATACTAATTATTGTGACATGACTTAACTTGTTTTAACAAATGAAATAATTGATTTATGAAATGTCTTAACCTATACATTATAGTTATAGAGAATATATAAAGAAGCATTTCAACAGTGGCTTTAATTTCTCTCTCTTAACACATGTATTGAATTAGAATTAAAAACAAAAAGTTAAACATTTCAACAATGAGACTGAACTGCTTTCAGATTATTGTAAACATTGTATTTTATGATAATAAACTTTCAAGAAGGAATGTGATATAATTCAAAATAACAACGTTTGGTAACTTACCAACATCATTTAGAGGTGTTAAAAAATCAATTAATGTCCTAATTTAAGCAAACTTTTTGAAATAATTTAATTTATATATCTGAAAGTTAATCTCCATGTTTTCACACAGCAGCTATTTTTCAATTAACAGCTCTTCCAATTCTGATTCATTTGAAGAGTCTGTGACTTTGTCAACTCTGAAAATAATATTTCAACCATTTTAATTTATCACAGGTAAATAAATTTGTAATCACTCGGATTAAAACAAGGGATGATGTCCAATTAATATTTTCCATCTCCAGACCCAGAAATGAGTAAACATGGGGAGTTTTAATGATTCCATGGATAGAGCTGCACAGGTCACTCTAATTGTAATTTTATTATTTAAGTCTGTGCTTTTCCCGGTACAAAAATTTACATTATCTACACAAATATGATCCTCTCTAAGTAATAGTACTGGTAAAGATGAGAATAAAGAAAACTAAAGAAGGGCTAATCACATTTAAAAAATAAAATCAGTAGAGGGAATAAAAGTTGAATCTTGCAAATCTGAGATGACTGAAATTTTGTAAACAGGAGTCTGAACTAACATGCTTGTAAAAGTTTCCTAAAATGATATTTATTTTCTGATTTAAAGTTAGTGGTACATGAACTTTAAATTCCCACTTACTTCAACATTTGGGAGGTTCCAGCTGTAAAAGAGAGAATACTACATCTGATTATATTTATAAAGTTTATAGAGGTCTATACTTTTATCATATATTTCATTTATATGCCATGAAATATGTAATGAATTTTTTAAAACGAGATGTGAGCAAAGAATTATTTATTGGACCTTAAGTGTACTAGTTACATAACTTTGCCTACATTTAATCTAGGGTTTCACAATTGTGTCTTTAATATCAATACAGCAAGTGCATCATATATTATATCAGCTACTGCCTTTTAAAAAGTTAAAATGTGAAGATCATTGCAAGGTATTTTTTGTGTGTGTCTATCCACAACAAATTGACATATATTATAACTAACAAATTCATTTTCTATATTAAATATGCTCTGCGTCTAGCATCTTGGTTGTTTTTTTTATAAAGCTCTGACATTTAAAAAATTGTTTACCTTTGAGTGATCGTGTGAGTCTTTTTGGTGTACCTGCTTTTGTCATTTTAGAACATTTTATCTGATGCTCTTTAATATGGTCAATATGAAACTCACACTGGCAGTAGACACAGCTGAAAGAAAATTCAACTTTGTATAAAGGGACTGGCCTAAAATTATCTTTTGAATCCCACATTGAATTTATTTGTTTTAAAGCAGATATTTGTTATTTGCTTCATTCATTACAGCACAAAATAAAAGCATTTTGTTTTCAATCTTGTAATTTCATTTCATTTAGCCAATCAAACTTAATGGCCATGTTTGTGTGCTGGGATTGAGTCAATTCACCTTAATGCCGGTGCTTGTGTATCTGGATACAAGATTTGTTAGGCATATCTCAACTGTCTCTAGCAATTATAGTTTTTAATAACTATACTTTTAAATATAAAGTTTGATAATTTCTTTAAAAACTACATTGCTTGTTAATTGATAGACTCCATTAAATTTTCACTTCTTCCTATAAAATCAGTGACCTGTCTGGGAATTATTGATCCTGACATCACATGGGCCATAACATCACATACGATTATTATGAATGGGTCAAGTCGAATGTAAGATTTGTCCGAAGTGCACCTATAAGCTGTAACGGGATGGCATACCACATCTCTCTAGCCTGATGAGCTCTTTAAACATTTGATGACTTTCTCTAGATAATTAAATTAATATACGTTAGCAAGCATAAAAGAGCCCTCGAAACAACAAGTGCTGCACTGAGGACACCAAATAAATGATCTAATCCCAAATGCTTTGACACAGTATAAGTTTTGCCTTGAAAACTTATGGTCATTTGATAGACCAATTTTACTTGTTTCTATTTTGTATTCCTGTCATAGATTCCTATGTTTATTATCTTTTCATTTAATTTTTGTTTTGTCAAGACCATCTTATTTAATTAAATTCCAAAGTAAAGCAGAACAAATCAACATTGGTTCTCTAAGTTAATTGACTAAAATATTATTCTCATGGCAGCATTAGGTGTTAATCTCCATTTGAAAATTTCAATTTTCAACCACGGAGAACTATTTAGATAGTTTTAGATGAGAACTTTCTTATAGAAATATTTATTATACATTTTTTTTAATGAACTCTATCACATAATTTCAAGTCACACAATGAGAAGTAGCACAGTACTTACATAGTTATTTCATCTGGTATAATCTTAACATCTAGAATGAGGGGAAACAAAAATAAATGTCAATTTTTTAAAAATTCAATGTAAATTTTTCCTATGGTTGAAAAATTAAAATAATGCCAAAATATTGCTAAACAAAAATTGAAATGTCATTCTGATATTGTTTGGTTTATTTTCTAGGATGATATGTAAATAATAGTTATATTTTTACTCCATGACTATGCCTACATAGTCAACAGATCTAATTGGTTTACCAAATGTTTTTTTAACTTAGGTGGCTGTTATTACATATTACTTAATATTTGCAATAAATCTGAGCTACAAATGCAAAACTTGAATTAAAAACAATAAAATATAATTAAGAAATTTAACTATTTTATGATCCAATAAAAATATAAAATCTTAGCATGAAGTAAAGTTTACATTTTGAAAATTTCATAAACAGGCAGTTCAGCAAAATAATTATATACAAGTAACAAGTATGAAATACTACAGGTTTTTAGGTTGACAGGATTTATTAAGCTCCCATGTTAGAAATAGGATAAGGTTACTTACCTTCCCCACATGAGGATGCATGAGATTCTAATATCTCCATACTGAATTTTTCACCACAAACAGGGCATGGCTGTGCTGCTTCCTTAACCTAAGTATAAATAATATATGTTATTACAGTATATAATTAAAATGTTTTGTCTTCAAGTTGTTTTTAGAAAACTGTAACAATAATCAAATTAATCCATTGAAGTAAATGCTCATTTCATATATGTAGAATTTGTTAGGTACCTGGGTATGAAATATTTTTTAATTTGATTGTTTAGGGGGGTAATTCAAAATTGACTTGTCTAGAATTTGAAAACCAACCATCCACTATGATTTAACTTGTATCTTAAAATGACTTGAATCATAAAATGAGTCTCAATTTAAAATAATTTTTCCTTAAAAGTGTTGTAAAAATTCGTTGAATTTAAAAATAGTCAATAGTCTTCAGGAAAGAATTAGAATTAGAAAGTGGTGCTGTTATAAATATAACCTAGTAAAACAGGGCTTGACTTATTTTTAAACTTCCACTTGGAGCCAATTGTAGCACTTGTTTGCACTAGAAAAGTGTATAGCTTGCTTTTCACTTCAACATAGTTATTTTTAGCCACCACAACTGTCTGCTAGTACAATCACCATGTAACTGATACCCTCCCCTGTCCTGGTTGGCGACAACAGTTTGTTTACATTCTAATGCATTCCATATGTTCTCCAGAATGCCAATAGGTGACACGATATCTGGATGTTTCTGTATTAGAATGTTCGGATTTAATTCCAATATAAAGCCCCCAGGTTTCCTAGAGTATTGTGCCTTCATTTTCCAATACTGTAAGTTGATATACTTTTTGCTTTTGTACCCACATTTGTATTTGCATAGAAATCTATTTATATAAATGAATGACTTTTTAGTATCACCAGCTTTGGGGTGATTTTTCTCTGCATGCTGTTAAAACAGTCTTTTGTTAGGTTATTTTAAAATATGAGCCATCTATTAACACAGATTTAATATTTATAACCATTACGGTATGTTAACAGGTGTGTTTTTCTGTCTTTTGTGATAATAAGCTTGTATAAATATTTAGTAACACCGGTAGCAAAAAAAGTGTGGATTCATTTGAGAAAGAAATAAAATTTGTAGAAAGGCTTAGGTGGGGCATGGCACACAAAAAAGGTTGGGAGACACAGCTCTAAATAAAGAAAAAAGTGCAGCCATGGTGAAGACCAACCCCTTTGCACCCGGATTTCATATAAAAAGCATTCATCTATTTTTATAAATGACCTTCCTATGCTAAAGCGTTTCATATGGTTTGACACATGATGCCAGTAACTATTGTATACATTTACTATTAGTTTATCATTATGTTTACAAAAAATTTGGTATTCAGATACCGAAAATCAACAGCCGGTTTTTGGTGTTTCAAAACTAAAACGGGAAAACTGGTTTTTCTTTAACATCGTTAACAGTATTGAAAAATATTTGAACTATTAGTTAAAAAGAAACACTTCAGAATACAAGTTATTTTTCCAGACCTGTTGCTTCAGATGAAGCAGCTGAGGCTGTGTGTTGTAGAACGCTATCATCAAAGCAATACTTACAGAATTAAATCCTGATGGCTGATTTTGGATTTCTTTCCAAGGGGCTGGATTTTTGTAGGATGATGGATATATCGCCTTGTTGATCTTAGTTGTTAAATTCTTTTCCCTTTCCGGGCTGCCTTCATCATGGTGGAGAGAATCTTGTGCATTATTCTGGCTTAATGGCTCTCTGTTAGCATGACGGTCTGATGCAACGATTAAATTTGGTTTTTTTGCATTGGTTTTTGCCTTGGAATATCCCTTGACTTCTTTTCTTTTCTTACTGTTATCATTTATTTCATTAACGCTATATTGAAATAAATTAAGACTATTGAACTCTGCTTTATGCTCTTCATCTTCTGGGGAATCCTTCTCTGCTTTTTCTCTGATCCTTTTTCTCAAGCCCCTCTTCTCAGTAGCACAGCCTTGATTACTATTAAAATCTCTTTCACTCTTTTCTTGTAAGCTTGCATTTGTAGCATGCTCATCATTAGTAAATCCAACCAACTCAATGTCAGCGGCAGGCAACTGCCTTGCCCTCCCTCTTTTCTTGTGGCGTGCAATTTGCGTGCTGTACAAATCCCCATTGACATCCAACAAAGAATTGGAGCTCTGACTATTAAAACCTGGTGATAACCTCTGTGAGGATGTCACGTCTGTTGCCAGTGGAATATTTACTTTAGTCTCAGCAACATCTTCATCAAAACTATTTTCTTCAGAAAGGTCTGCATGCTTTTTATCATTACTGGATTCATCAAGAGTTGTGTACATCTGTAACTCACCAGGCTGTGAATTTGTATTGCTACTAGTTGTAGGGTCATCATCAAGCCAAATGTACGGAGTTGAAGCATATTCTTTGTCTTGTCTGGCTTCTCTTTCTGGCAGTATATTTTGGCTTAATTTTAAATCTTTGGCGGGGATTGTCAAAGACTGATTGTATGACCCTGCATCATTTCCATATTCATCAACTTTTGTTACAATGACAGCTTTCTTCTGCCTCTTGATCAGAGATGTTTTACTAGCCGTTTCTCTATTATCGCCTTTGCGTTTTTTGCTAATCTTTTTTGAGTTGCCCAGTTGCCTAGATGAATTCTTTTGTGGTGGCTTGTAGTCCGAATCATCATTATCACTTTTAGATTGCTCACCGTCCTCCGATTGAAACGTCATCCTGATATCATCCTCTTCCACAACATTTGAGGTCTTCTTGGCTGTTCTACTTTTATCAGGTTGGGTGTTTTTTTCCATTTGAAAACCTTTTCTTGCATCTCCTGTCCTCATTCCTGACTCCTTAAAAGCTCTTTCATCTGCACCTGCCTTTGAACTAGGACTATCAGGATCAGTATGGTCACTATCATTAACTGCTGCCAAGGTAGCTGTTGTAATGCTGTTGACTTTTCTGTTTCTGGTCAAATTTGTCTTCTTGTTTTTGGCTATCAAGCAGCCTTCAACATGAGCCCCAGTAGTTACTGGCTTGCCCCAGGCTGTCACCTTCCCTTTTAAATTCTGCTGAGCTCTCTTTAGACGTCTGAAGTATATGTCATAAACCAATTCAAAGACTTTAGCAAGACAGTCAGGGTTCTCTATATTTCTTGCAATACACAAACTAGCCCACAAGGGACTCTGAAATTAAAAATGTCTTTTTAAAAACAAAACAAAAAAAGCTAAAATTTGATTTTTCCTGCAGCTGACAGGGACGGAATATTTGAACAATAATAAATAGGTTAAAATACTTCAATTTAATATGCAGACATTACTCAATTCAAATTTTTTTTGGAGAATTCTTTTTTTACTTAAACAATAACCATTTAGACTAGTCTTAATAAGCAACATATAAAATACTTTTATTTAACATGCAGACATTACTAGTTACACATTTTTTTTAGAAAAGTATTTTTTTTACTTATTCAATAACCATTTAGTCTTAATAAGCAACTTTCATGATAGTTTTAAAAAATGTGTAGTTTTGATAATATGCTGAAAGATAATCTTACAGTCCACTAGATAACTTACACTGCTAGTTCGAATCTGTTTACTGAAATAAGAATGAAAAAAAAACACTGTAAGCTTTGGTACTTCAAACCTACCATGAGAATGACTGATTCTATCATAAGTGGTAACTGAATTGTCCATAAGGATAAACAATAACCTTTTAAGAATTTATTTTTCTAATTCTAACTTTTCTTGACAGTTATGTTGAAATAATGTAAATCAAATGAATTAAATACACAAAATCCTCCTTGAAATTTTGAGACAAGATTTTAAACTAGCTGAATGATAAATATCTCCAAGTTTTGACCTATGTTTTTAGATAATAGAATTCAAGAGTCAAATAACTTTAAGGAAACCACAAGAACTACTTAATTATATATTTACATAAAGAGATTTTTAAAAATTATTTTAACATCTTACTTAGACGGTTTGTTTCAAGCAATGTAATAGTAAAATGCTACACTTTGCATGTTACTGGTAAATTGTTTTGTTTAGAAAATTCTAAATAAGTTTTTTTTTGACAAAAACAATTCTCCAATTGTTGACGAGTCTAAGGTGGTTTTCAAAATAAAACAACACAGTGTGAATAAGGCAACATTCCTAATGAATAACTGAGTGAAGAGCTACATAAATAATTAATCATTCATTTCCAAGAGGCAACAAAAAGTTAAAACTGTTAAAAATCTAAACAACTTACGGATAGGTCCTGATAAGGTTGCTCTGATGTTGAACATCTTTCTAGAAGTAAAATATCTTTATATTTTCATTTGCAATTGAATAAATCTTACCAATGACTGTGCTGCTAAGTGATTATTACAGATACATCTAATTCCAAAGCTGTTTGCAATATGTAACTGTCCTTTAATTCATTAAATTCTTTTGAACTAAGTGCAAACATAATTTTCCTACTTCTTGTGCCCTCTGAACACTAATTTGATTGCTGAGATTTAACACACACAAAAATTTACATTTTGTTTTTCTTCACTGCCCCTTGTCTGGTGGCTCATTGTACTGTGGATGGGTTTCTTGGGTGTTTTATTAGTAACACACCAATGTAAAGGTGTATAAGAAATCTCATACATCAGAATACACTTTATGACCTTAACAAGTCCTCATTCCGTGCTGGGGAATGAATCGTTGCCCTTTAAAAGGGATTGCAGTTTACTTCTATGGTTTGTTTTATGCTGGCATGGATGAAAAGGCTGCCTTGGAACAACATTCACTAATAATAAAGGAAGGTGTCGAGTTTTTATCATCGGTGGGATGCCTACACTTTCTCTTTTTACAACAGCAACAAAAATTATTGATGCTTTAAATAAAATTTAACTTCATATTTGATTATGAGATAATGTACCTGATGTAAAACAGAGTCTTGTCTAGTGTTTACTTTTGGCCCAGGGTGCAAGTCTTCATCAAGGTCATGACTATCGCCCATCATGACAACACTGGCTGGGCTGCTCTGAACAGACTGGGACTCTGGAACAACTGTTGGTGACTTCAAAACTCCTTGGGTGAGATAAGGTGATCTGTCAACATGATCATTTATAGCGTGTTAAATGTATCAGCACCGTCAGTGGACAAATCTAGAGGAACAACTTATGCAATTTTTGATAGGTATAAAAATAGTATAACCTTACCTAATGTATGCTGCTATGTAATAACAAGTGATGCTCTAGATCTTTATAACTGCCGATTTATAACTTCTCAATGTCTACCTTCTAGCACAGTGGTTCTCAACCTTCCTAATGCCACGACCCTTTAATACAGTTTCTCGTGTCGTGGCGACCCTCAGCCACACTATTGTTTTCATTGCTACTTCATAGCTGTGAGGATATGTGTTTTCAGATGGTCTTAGGTGACCACTGGGAAAGTGTCGTGCGACCCCCAAGGGGGTCACGACCCAGGGGTTGAGAACTGCTGTTCTAGCACATGTAACTTTTGGGACATACATTGATGGTGAAGTAATTTTATTCTAAATCTTGATTTACAAGATGTCAGTTGATGATATAAATTTGAAATCAAAGCTTACAAAACTTTGTAATTACTTTTGAAAATACTGATGTGAATAAAATAACATTAATTTTTTTATTATTAATAACTTAATTCATTTTTTTTTTTAACACAACTCATCAAGAACTTACTTTTTGGGGGATTCATAAGGCTGAGTTTCTTCCTCATCAGTATCCATTTGATACACCTCAGGGCTACCTTGAGGTGAAGGATTCAATACCTGATATGAATTCATTAGAAAATATTTTACTCACAGATACCTTGTTTCTTGGTATTTTCAATTAAGGGATATATAGACTGGTATGCCATGGCCATAAATGCTCCACAAAACATCATATGGCTTGCATATCTGGCTCTGCCAAGCAATGTCCATTATGTATCCGGTTGGAAAATACACCAAGGCCCTTAGTCAAATGGCAAACTTATTCTAACAACAGACAGCATAACCATTTTACTTGATGCTGTCTCATTAATATGTCTCTGTATTGTTGGGCCACCTTTTTCAAACTTAGGCCACATTCACATCCTGTTCTTTATGAGTGAATATAGTGGTTAACTATGAAAAATTGGTTAAAATCAAATTTTAAATTTGTAAAATTTGTATGTTTAAATTTAAATTAAATTGTTAAAAATTTTCTCATTAGTTTAAACTACTGATCACAAAACTTTCTTTATCAATGTCAGAATGTTAAAATATGCTAACAATGCTGAAAAGTACCGTGTTCCAAGAAAAAAATTATTTACTGATAAAACTGCCATTTCACATAAGTTTAAAGAAAACAATGTAGTTTTTTTAACATTAATTTACAATGAATATTAATGATAAAGCACTGATAAGTGAGATAGAAAAACTGAATTAATAACGTACATTAAAGGACTGATCAATAGTTCATCTGAAAGTTGCCAATCATTACTTAACTTATAAGTTGCAAAATTGAACATAAATATATACAAATAATCAACTGCTTTCTCCACACCTCTTCAGGTTGCTCACTAATGTTCCGATGTTTTCTAGAACTTGGCATAGAATCTTTGAACTGTATTTCATCATCAGAGACATTATTTGGGGATGGGCTGATGCTCATATATTCTATAGGTTGAGTTTCATCCTCATCCTTTTCATTATAATCTTCAACACAAACTGGAGCCTGATCTTGAATGGTTGCTTCTTCATGATGCACAGAATGGGACTCAGCTAGGCACTGTAAACAAAAATGCTTATAACTGATTTGCATTTCAATGAAGTATAAATGTATTCAGTACATCTACTGTCATGAATATTTGGCTGTGATATAAAATCCTTAAAACAAAAGGAGGCACAATTTTCTATAGCATTTTTATGGATTGTCATCAATGTACTAACTAAATAATGTTATATAAATATTTGTACTTATGTTTTAGAAGATATTAAAAAAAAACTTTTTAAAGAGATATTCATTTTAGTCCATAAATCATAATGTTTTAAAATTTAAATAAGTTCATTGCTTTCATTTGTTCAGATTAAAATAAAACCATTTAAAGGTATTTCTTTTAATGTATTTATATTCAATTATGTTAGAAATTTAGCAAATTAGAAGAATGAACGAGGAAGTTAAAAACAAAATAAAATTATTTTTCATTAATAACAATAATCACATCAAATTGAAAAAAAAACCCCTCTTTTTTACATATTGCAAAATGCAAAAAAATTCTAGAATCTGAGTTCTCTCCACCTCATTTGGGATGCATTTTAGGTTGTTTTAAATCATCCAAAATTTTGAAATCAACAATGCTTAATAAGGATTCATAATTTTGATTATTAAAACAAAAAATAGCTTTTGCTTTTTCCAGTTTTAACAGTGAATAAATAATTTTTTTAATGAAAATTGAAAAGCAATAAAATAAATATTCAAGAATTAGGTTGAAAGAATATCATGCAAAAATTATTGCATTCCCTGCTAACTTTTTTATTTTATTAGTAGCGTCGGAGCGAAATATATGTATTGATTTTTAGACAATTTTTTATTGCTTTAAACTGAAAACTTGAACAAACTGTTTTATTCCATTGAATGTATTTAATTTGAAGGTGTATGCTACATCCACTATATAAAGGCACTAATTTTTGGACATTTTACCTCAGTGCCCAAAGCAACTGCTTTGTTTGATACTTTTTTCCTGATACAATTACGCTGGCAAGAAAATTATTAATTTCAATAATTATTAAAGCATTCTATGAAATGAACATTATGTCTTAAGAGAAGTTGGTTAGTTAATACGTTTTAAAATTGTGAAAATAACTTTAATGCAAAAAAACTTTATGTCAGTATATCAACGCAAAATTTACCGAAATACTAAGAGGGCATTTGGTCTCTATGACCTTTTGAACAGCTCTTTTCATTGATGACTTGGGTGATAGTATTGATCCTCCTATACTTTTTAGTAAATAGTTATTTTCATTTGACTTGTTCACACAATAAACAAAATCATTTCTTTTGTCTGTCAAACTCAATTTTAAATTGCCTCCTAATGTGTCTCTGTCAGGAGCAAAATTTATTGACATATTATGCATGAGTAGGGCATTGCTATTTTTATCCACGCAAATTTTTTTCCTTGGTGTGTGCTGTAGATTTTCTTCCCCAAAATGTTCTCCCCTTTTCAGTGTACCAAGAAGATCAAACTTTTGACTATTTCGTTTTTCCTCTCCTTTTTTGATACATGGATCATTGACTTTTGATTTGACAGCACAGACAATGATTTGTTTCTTACTTCTACTAGCATATTCTACATCTTTCTCTTCTATCGGATCTCCATGTTCATCATAAGACATTTCGCCTTCTTCCTCAAAAATGGTAGGAGCCACAGTTTTATTTATATCTATCTTTTTTTTTCTGGCATTGAGCCTAACGTTGCTCTCTGGTTTACATAAACTTTTCTGAGCTCTGTTGCTGCTCAAAGTATCTAGTGGATTCAAGATAAAATGATCCTTCAAGATTCTTCTCTTTCCATCCAATTTTGAACCTTGATCAATTAAATCTGAAGTGTTTTTCTCCGGTTTGTCGGCCAAAACAGGTTTTACAGGTGAAAAGGCATGTTCATTCTTTGAAATACCTTTACAGTCAGTGTCTACACAAATGCTGATATCTTTTACAGAAGTTTGTGCCTTCATGTCTTCATCAATGTTTTTTTTGCTCAAACTTAACTTCCTTGAGCATGATTTATTAATAGGTGATCTAGCTTTAACTATTTTCTTTTTGTCTGTGGAAAACTGGTATGCATTTGGGCTCTTATCAGCAAAAATCTTGGATTTCTGAATTAGGAAATATCAAATTAATTGTTTCAACTGTAAGACAAATATTCAATCTTAACAAATTTTAAAATAGAATTACTACATAGACCTTCAAGGACAGAAACACCAGATATACACCAATCAAATGAATGTTTACAAATAAAGAAAAAATAGCCTAGGCTAACGAGCAGCTTGAAGTTGGGAAAGGCATCTGGACCGGATAACATCACAACAGAGATTATGAGACAAGATATAGATACAATAGTCATCATGTTACATCATTTTATTTGAAAAAAATGGGAAGAAGAGAGAGTTCCAAAAGATTGGAAAGAAAGATACCTCATCAAGGTACCAAAAAGGGGATCTTAGCAACTGTGAAAATTACAGAGGAATTACACTACTGTTGGAAAGGTTTTTAACAGAATTAATCTGAATAGATTGAAGCTGAGAGATCAACAGGCTGGCTTCCACCAAAATAGATCATGCATAGACCAAATTGCAATACTACACATCATTGTAGAACAGTCCATCTAATGTCCAACTAACGGAACTCTCCCCGTATCAAGATTTCATTGACAACGGAAAGGCCTTTGATAACCTGGACAAATTAACCTTGTGGAAACTTTTCCGGCATTACTCGGTACCAGGAAAACTGATCAGGATCATTCAGAGTTCTTATGAAGAAATGATATGCAGGGTAGTACACAAAGCTAGACTCGCAGGTGTCAGACAAGGCTTTCCCCCTTCCTATCCATTCTTGCCATTGACTGGATAGCAAAAGAATCCAAAGCCAAAAAGATGAACGAGATACAGTAGAGACCCTGGGGACAACTGAATGACCTAGACTTTGCAGAAGACATTGCACTTCAGTTCCACAACCAACAACAAATGCAGGAAAAGACAAGAGATGCAGTCACCATTTCAGCATAGCTCAGACTAAACATAAATTGAAACAAGATAAAGATCATGGAGGTAAACTCAGTTAACCAAGAACAGATCTCCTTGGCAGGAAATGCCATGGAAGAAATGGAGTTTCACCTACTTGGGCACCACCATTGACATAAATGGTGGATCGGAAGTTGATGTCAAGGCTAGAATTGGAAAGGCTAGGTCAGCATTTGTGCTTAAATGGGAGTCAAAGGAGCTGACTGCCAAACTTAAGTCAGAATTTCAGCACAAATTTCAAAACAGTCCTAATCTATGGAGCTGAAACTTGGAGAACAACAGTGAGCATTGCGCTGAAAGTACAGACCTCTGCAAACACTTGCCTTAAAAAGATCCTGAACAGAAAATAGGCTAAACATCACCAACAAAGACTTACTGTAAAGGACATACCAAGAGCCTATTGCTGAAAATATCATAAGGAAAAAATGAAGGTGAATAGTGCACACTCTTCATAACACCCAGATTACATCACCAGACAATCCATAACATGGAATCTGCATGGAAGAGGGAAGAGAGGAAGGCCAAAGAATACATAAAGACACAAAGTATGGTATACACCTGGAAGTAACTGGAAGGGAAAGCACAGAACCGAGATGAAGAGAGAATTCTTGTAGACTGCCTAAGCCCCATGGAGGGTAAAGGCATAAGTAGCTATTAAAATGCAATCTAAAAAGCTATTAAAATGTAACAATATTTTAAATAGGAACTTCTGAGTTTGAAGTCAAGAGTTATTATATAAAGATCATGAACATTTATTTGTGATATTTCAAATGTTACTTTGGTAATATTTACCTTAGAGCTTTCTAAAATAGCAGTCTGAAAAAAATGAGGAAATTTAAAAACAGATTGCTGGAAAATGCAACTTGTATATTAGGACATTTTAATTACAAACTTAATACAATTAATTGTGATTGGGATGAAGGATGGGGTTATGTTGACAAGTGAGAGGGCACCTACTCTTTTGATCAATTGTAAACTGGAAGAGCAACCAAGAGATCCCAGTTAAAGGGGCCCAGATTTTTTATGTGATCATTCTCAAATGACAATATTTAAAAATTATTACCAAAAAAAAACATAAATTAATTCAAGTACTATCCCAAATATTAGTCAAGAAAATATTTAAGTAAACCCACAAATAGTATGTATTAAAAATTAATGAAAAATCAAATTAAGGTCTGATAACTTCAAAATCTGGACACAGAAATATTGATGCTTACCAAGAGGTTTTTTCTCTCTTCATATTGCATATGTTTTGTGTCTTCAGATTTGAAACCAGCATCTGGAGAGAAATAATTGTTTTGCACACATTAACTTTAATTTTATGAAGGTGTATTACTTTAAATAAAATCTTAAGTCTCAGGAAGATTTAGCATAATAGAGCTTTTATAACTTGATACCTTTCAAAATCTTTATGTCATCTGCATCAAGGGATTCAGGTTCAGAATCAATTACTTCTTGCTCACTAAAAAGCCCTTTACTTCGACTGCTTCTTTTCATCTTGTGAAGAGAGCTTAAATTATTAAAATCAAAAGAACCATGAGAAAGTCAAATGTAAAAATAAAAATTCCATATCAAATAAGACATAAAAAGAGATATTATAATTTATATATTTTTTTAGGGTTGTTCTGATAAGCAAAGCGGTCAATCACTGATTAATTACCACTGCTACATTTTCCACCAATTTATTTTTATGTATTTAGCCTTCGCAATGCCTCTTGTAATTATAAATTTTAGGTAATTCTTTTCACCATTACGTATTTATTCACAATTATATTGCTACAATTTGAGTCAAAATTATTTTTACAATAACCAGGTTAAGAAATTATTATTATTATCGTATGCAATGCGCATGGAACATTTGTTTACAGACACCATAAAACGATTCAAACCCTGTCGCACAACCCAGGTAAAATCTAGATATTTCTTGTGACCAGACTGGGATTTGCATCAGTACCTGGGTGTTACCAATCAAAGAGAGGTCTGCTGGGACGAGCATATTAACAATGTATGCAACCAAGCAAACAAGACCCTAGGCGAAATCTAAAGATTGGCAACTCCTGTGTGAAAGAAAGAGCATATAAAGCCTTTATCCGTCCGATTTTAGATTATGCATCTTCAGTCTGGGACCCATTTACCCAGAAGAGCATTGACAGGTTGGAGGCGGTCCAGCGACGAGCAGCACGCTTTGTCCTAAACCGCTACAGGAATACCTCTAGTGTTGGCAGCATGCTAGAAACACTAGGCTGGTCACCATTGGAGAAACGACGACGACAATCCAGGCTCTCCATGATGTACAAGATAAATAATGGGCTGGTCCACTGTTCCAGTATTAAACAGAAACTCGTCCCTCTCCCCCATAGACAGCGACGAGGCCATGACAGGCAATTCAGGCTCATACCAGCAAGAAGCCAGTATAGGAGCTGCTCATTCCTGCCCAAGACAATCAGGGACTGGAACAATCTTTCAAAAGGAACGGTTGAGGCGACAACACTAGACACATTTGTGTCTATTGCCTCAAGCCTTCAAAACCCTAGTGCATGATTTCCTCATCAACACCAGTAACAGAAACATTGCAAATCCCATCTACATGCATAGGAGCCAAAATGATCAATAAATTGATCGTGGGCCCTTAAGATATAGAAGAAGAAGAATTAATAGTTTATACTGCAGTATACACGCCAGCAAAGACTAAGTGATCTCGGAGCTCCAGTCACTCACTTTTGGAAACAAGAGCTTTCGCATAAAAATAAACAATCCTCACCAGTTTTTTTACATCAATCATCGGACCCGTATACATTGTATGGTCATTAAAGCAGTGTTTCTCAATGTGAACATTATGATCCCCAGGGGATCATAGCATATTACAGCACATTACATTTTGGGCCAAAAAAACTATGAAAAAAGGACTTTATATGTATATATGTTACAACCAAAGCCCAAAGTTAATCCAGTTGGTGAAATGACCAAGAGGTGCGGCCGATGCACTTGAAATAACAGATGTATATGCTACTTTGGCCGGCTATTTTGTGAAGTCGCTGGAAATCCCTAGCCAAAATTAAATGTGGTGATGCTAGACTATTTTGCAGTTGTCATGAATGTCAAGGATGCAATTAGCTAGGAACCGAACATGTTATTTTCAAACAAGACCTATTCTAGAAGTTAATTTTCCATTCTGCATGTGAAACTGCTCACACTTGAATCTGTAAGAATAAAAGAAAAATAACTCTTAACCTGGATGATAGCCTCATGTTGTCCGCAATCTGACCGGGCAAATCACAATTTCAAGGAAATATCAGACTTTTGCCTGTCTATTTACAGTGACATTGGTCAATTGGCACATTGGCCTGCCATTTCAGGAATGGCTGATTTTGGGCTTTGCCTGTAATACACACACACACACTCACATATATATATATATATATATATATATATATATATATATATTAGAGACCAACCGAATTTCGGCTTCAGCGCTGAAAGTGGCCATTTTATCAATTTGGGCCAAGTTTCGGTTTTGGCAAAAACTGAAAAGTTTTGTGCTTTGTCTGTAATACACACACACACACACACATATATATATATATATATATATATATATATATATATATATATATTAGAGACCAACCGAATTTCGGCTTCAGCGCCGAAAGTGGCCATTTTATCAATTTGGGCCAAGTTTCGGTTTTGGCAAAAACTGAAAAGTTAACTTTTGGCTTAATTTCGGCTTCGGACGAAAGAGAAAAGTTAACTTTCGGGTTTTTTTCGGTTTCGGCCGAAATTGACTTATGGCCGAAAGTGACTCAGGTTTTCGGTCATCTAATACTCAGCGAAAGCCATATTTAACAACAAACTAAGCGACATTTAAGAACAAATTAAGTGATCTTTAAGAACAAACTAAACGATCTTTAAGAACAATCTAAGCAATCTTTAATAACAAACTAAACGATCTTAAAGAACAAACTAAAAGATTTTTATGAACGAACTAAATGATCTTTAAGAACAAAACAAATGATCTTTAATAGTAAACTAAATGATTTATACGAATAAACTAAGCTATCTTTAACAGAA